AAGAAGCTTTCAAATTAGATGAAAAATGATTTTTCGAATTTTGAGCCGATTCAAGTTGATCACCTTCGGTCGAATGGAGGTCAACTATCCCACCCCAGGGATTTGTTGTAGAACTACTTTTTCTTGAACAAGAAAACCCCTAGTTTCATAATCAGAAATAAAAGTCGTACCATAGGGGGGTTCTTACTCAAGTTATGGCTCAAAAACTGAAAAAATCGCTGTTTTTGAGGAAATTTCGATTTTTTTCTCCCCCAAGAAGTCGAGTTAGAAAAAAAGTTACAACTGAAAAAAATACTCAAAAATAGTGTTTTCTTACATTTCCAAACGTTTTTGAATGAAAATTCTCAACAGGAAAAAATTAATTTTTTTCAGCTTACTGTCTACAGTATCTTTTAAAAAGGGGCGGAGCCACCTGGAACCTGGTGCAAAAATAATCAGAAGCACGTGTGTGAGCCGTGATCAAATTTCGAAGCAAATCAAAAAAATTTTTATTTTGTTTTTGCTTTTTATTACTGAAAAAGTCATCGATTTTTCTCAGAGAACGTGTGTTAAGTTTTTTTCCAAACGCTAGCAAGCCTTAAAAAATGGTCTAATTTGGGGAATGCGTATTTGGTAAGTACAAAAAAATTTTTTTCTGTGTTTTTTTTTATCTTTTATTGTCGGAAATAGCCTTGTTCATTTTAAAAACAGAAAAAATGATTGAAAATGGTCTAGTATGGCCAGCGGAGACGGCGCAGTGCAAACCGGACGGGCCCCTGTAGGTCTGAACTGCTGTGTAGTAAATAATAAACTTGAGAAGCCTTTTTGTCAGAGTAGACTCAACTAACTAACTAATAAGATATTAAGTGGTAAAAAAAACCGCACCGAAATGTCTGCAACCGAAGCCGGTGACACTGGCGTCTTCTGCATAAATACTACGGAGCACGACGTCATCTGCAGGAACGCGCGGGTCCAATTCCGCAGTTCTCTTGATCAGAGCATTGTAATCAGAAAACTCATCGCTTATCGAATGAAACCTGCAAAAAAATTTTCTTTCGATAAATTATCACAAAAAATTGAGCAATCTATAAATTGGAAAAAAATATCGTTTTTCGCAACGTTGAGCTGACCTTACGCGTCCCCCACAGCGCACAATCCATTCCGCGGCTGCACGCTCCGCACCGACTTCTTTGACTCTTTGAGTATCGTAGCTGTACATATATTTGGTTATGAAAGTCGTGAAAATGGAAACCAACTAATTGAATCCTTCCACCAGCCAGCGCAGGCCAGGAATATTATGTTGACCGATTGCCAACATCAGCTTTTCTTGGATTCTTGCAATACGAAGAGCTGCGGGAGTTGTCCGAATCATCTTTTCCTTGATTTCAAACTATATTTTCAAAATAATATTTATAAATTCACGAACAGGTAACGAAATACAACTGAAGCTATTTATCGAATTTCTGGATAGTTTCGAAGGAGAAAACCATTCAAACAAGATAGCTAAACGTCAAAAAGGGATTGAGAAAAAATTTTTCGAAAAGAGAAAAGAACCGCGTGCTATTGTGTTTTCAAACTTTTTAGTGAATCAAACAACAATAAACAACAACCACAACGCGCATCTTTTCGAAACTTTCAAAGCGAAAGTGAAGTATGAAGTTTATTCAAACTTCTCCTGAGCTTTGAAAGGAATGATCTGAAATTCTGGTTTTGTTGTAAAAGACACTCTAACTAGTTGTAAAAATTTACTTCCACAATAGGGATCAATTCCCTACTTGCGGGATTCCGGGATTTCAAAGAAGATCTTTTCTTTCAATCAAAAAAAAAAGATATTCTTTTTGAAATGATAAAATAAAACATGCCATGGCTTACGACGTGTGGAAGATTGATTTAATTCAAGAACGATTTTGTTAAATGGAGGCGCGCTACTGACCGAGTAGGCACTCGAGTGACCCCTTTGGGGTCTGCGCATAAGTGGTCTCTCGGGTTTCAGCACATCGCAATTGTTTTCCGAGCAAATTTTGTCATATTCAAAGCATTTTCGTGGAATTCGCCTTTCCAAAACTTAATCATCCTTTTCACTCTCTGACTTTTTTTTTAATTACAAAAAATTTCAATTCGTTCATCAAGGTTCAAAAAAGTTTTTTGGAAATTTTTTGGAAAAGTTTTTTCCAAGAACTGAAATATTTCCAATATTCAGCTAGAATAATGCTATCGCAGCTCGGAAAGGCTTTTTCGCGTTTGTGCTGTTCTGTGGCGACGGCTCCAATGAGTTTCTGCGCGACAATGCCCTCCAGTTCTTTCACAGCTTCTGCTGCTTCACTGCATACTTCATCTACGGTTGCTCGAAACAATTTCTTGCAGGTTTTTTTTTTCAGAGTTTTGTATCAAGGATACAAGTACCTCCCGGGTCTATTTTGAAGTCAATCGGTGGTTGTTTATTAGCTAACGGGTAGGTACCTGAAATTTGCAATTGCTACCGGGTAGTTTTTTTTTGTTTCAACGCTACTCAATAAAAACTTGAAAAACAATTTATAAAAACTCTGATGCTAAATAAACGTTTTTTTTTTGTTTCAACGTTAGTCGCCTAGAAATTGCGATTGCTACCGGCTGGCAAATCGATCGTTTATTTAGCATCAGAGTTTTTACAAACCGTCTTTCGAGATTGTATTGACTAACGTTGAAACAAAAAAAGCTACCTGGTGTATACAGGCGCCATAGAGATAATTCCCGGTCGCTAATAAACGACCACCGATTATCATACGCCTTTAAAGTATCCCTCTCCCAATTGACCTTTGTTTTTAAAAATTCCTAAGCCATGGAAAAGATATTCTTGGAGTTTCAAATAGAAAATTTTCCCCTTCTCTTATATCAAACAATTATTCTACATTCATGGTTGTGGTTTTTTTTCCGAGTAAAGCAGTCTTTAAGTTTATTCATTATCGAAATGGTCCGCCCAAGAGACGCGCCAGGAGTAAGGACAAAAGCCCTATCACCGGCTTCAACCACTTCAAAGGCATCGTTCTTAAAAGTGAGACGTTTTTACACTTTTTAAGAATTGAATTTTTTTTCGAATGAAAGCGAAAATGCTGCCTCTCCATTCAAAGTTGGCGGGAGAGGTAGAACGTAATCATGCAAGGAAAAAGTAGAAAATAGCTTTTGAAGAAATTTTAATTTTGTTCATTCAAACTTTCACTGGTCCCTGAAAAAATTCGAAATAATAAAAAAAATCGGCGAAGAGAAAAAAAAAAGGATGGCTCACTCTTGATCTTGAGTTTCGTCATACAAAGCTGAATCGGGAGCTCGATACAAGTAGCTACCGGATAGCAGCTTGTGAAAAGTCGATCGGCGTATGCTAATCTGTGGTCTTTTGTATGCAACCGGGTACTATTTCTATGGTACCTGTAGATACCTGACATTTGCTATTGCTACCAGACTGTCTGGCAACGCTTCCGAGGTGATTATTTTTTGTTTCAGCAATAGACAATAATATCTTCGACCACTTGGAACAGTTTACAAAAACACTCGTCCTAAAATCTCCTGATTTTTCACAAATGATATTTTAGTGAATGCAATAAATCATTACTATTATTATTAAATCAACGACCGATTTACCCCCCGGTAGCAATCTCTAATTTTAGGTACCTACCCGGTACTATCCACGTACCATATAGATGGTACCCGGTCGCATACAAACGACCGCCGATTAGCATACGCAGATCGACTGTTTACAAGTTGCTATCCGGTCGCTACTTTTATCAAATTTCCGATTGACCAGTGCATAGCCGCGTCGCGTACTCTACCAGAACGGCGCACGGTGCCAGCACCAATAATCCGCTGCACGGTGCAAGTGGTAGTGCGGCTCCTCGCGTTTTTTGAGACATTTTGGTGCAAATTGAGTGCATGCGCACGATGCAGCAGCATGCCTCCTTAAGGAAGTTCAATTTAGTTATTCAGCCATATTTAGATGAAGCTAGAGCTCTTGCTGTTTCGATTCAGGCACAGCCTCCTGATCCGATTTCCCTTGTCCAATTTTAATCGAAAAATGATAAATAAGAATAACAAAATAACTATAAGTGCCTGCACCGTGCGCATGCACTCAATTAGCACCGAAATGTCTAAAAAACGCGAGGAGCCGCACTACCACTTGCACCGTGCAGCGGGTTATTGGTGCGGGCACCGTGCGCCTTTCTGGTAGAGTACGCATAGACATCTATGCCAATCTACCCATTACGCCGTCCAAGTCGTGAATAAATAATTGGAGTGTTACTGGGGAGTATTCAGCTGTGATTCGACATCCGAAAAAGCCGAACTCCGGTAACAGAAAATGCGCTATCGTGCGTCTCTCCACCGGAGCTGAAGTCTGCGCCTACATTCCAAACGTCGGACACAATCTCCAAGAACATTCACAGGTATTATAATTTTATCTCGTCAAAAGTTATGTACTGAGTTGGCCCCGCTAAAAAATGAACTAACGTGATGGCTTTGAAAAAAAGTTGCAAATCTCGGGCCATTTCTTTCAGTATTCCGTAATCTTCACTCTTTGTCCTTCTCATGTGAAAAAAAGTATTTTTGTTTTCTTTCGTATATCTTTAAAACTCGCAGTTTGGTAAGAAATGGGCTATATTTCTTCTTCAATCCACAAAAGTCTATAGTGAAAAAAACCCGTTGATGAGTGAGTTTAGGGTGTTCGCGCGAGACGAACACGTTTTTAAAAGCACAGCAGGAAAAAGTTACCCTTTATATACACATCCGTCTTTCAATTTGGAAAAAAAAACCAAACGCTGGCTCGGAATATGCTACAATTCTAAGCTCATTGCTAAACTGATTCTTATGAAGAATGTTATTCAGAGATATTCAATTTGCAAAAAAGGTTTTGTACGCAAATTAAAAAAGTTAGGCGTCCAAGTAAGTATAAAAATGTGCTCAAACAAAACGTTTGAAAAAAGTGATCAATGAAAAACCAAGATGACATGAATATTTCTCAAAAACGATATATTTTTTGGGCTACCTCCGCTTTTTTCCAGGTTTTGGTTCGCGGCGGAAGAAGAAGAGACTTGATTTCTGTGAAAGCAAACGTCGTCCGAGGGAAGTTCGACTGCGCACCAGCAAATGCAGGATCATCCAGAAAATAGTGAAACTGTTTAGATCTTATATCGATTTGTTTTTTAATACAGTCAAAATTTATTTAGCGCAGAAAGTATTGCAAAAAAGGCGAAAAAAGAAAAAAAAATCAAGTTGAATGGATGAAATGTGAAGTTAGTATTTTTTGAAAACTCAGAGGCTGGTAAAATATATCAGTTCTTTTTCTTGGTAGACCGGTTCAGATGAGATCTTGTTTCAGAAGACTTGATAACCATTTTCGCATTTCGTTTCTTCGTAGACGCCGTAACTATAATATATGAAAAATCAAAGAAGAAAATTTAGAATAAAAAACCTGATGGAGACGTGACGAGCTCATGAATTTCGTGAACGACGCTCAGGGGCGTTGCTGGTATCTAATTTTAATTTTTGAATGGAAAAATAAATGTTTGCTGATACTTTCGTAGAGTTTTTGCCACGTCTAGCAGCAGACATCCCCTTTTTCGGTGTAATCAAGCGGCTTTGAGGAGTACGCGTTGATTTCTGAGGAGCTGTGGCAGTTTTCTCAATTTCATCCTCTGGTTCCTTAACCTTTTCATTAAGGCCTTCAAACCAAAAGTCTCCCTATTTCGAAAAATAGCTTTGGTTTTCATCGGTCATTTTGGGCGCATAAAGCTCTAAGAAATAATCAAACCTGCTTCAGTTGGAACTCTTCCTCTTCCTCGTATTCTTCGGCATTGTCTCCTTCAGCCACGTTCTTCTTCATCCTTCGTAGAAACCTTCGAAGTTCCACTACTTGCGTTTTTTGGTCAGAAATCGTTTCATTCATCTAAAAAAATTTCTTTCAAACATTCAAATCATTGTTACGAACTTCAATAAGATTGTTTGTCTGATCGATGAATTCGAGAATCTTGATGGGCTCGATAGATTCCAGTTCCACGAAATCAAGGATCTGAAGAAAATCAATGACCTACGATTTCAACGAAAAGATACATGGCAGTAGTATCTGGCTTGGATGCTCTCGATCTTCATGTAGAGCTCCTGGAAGGCTTTCCTTAGCAGCTCAACGTGGCAAGGCGTGTTCTGCAACAAGTCGATCATCTCAGTACTGATTGGAGGCCTACACTCTGTCTCTCCTTTTTAGGCAGGAGTGAATGACGCGTGAGGACGGCGAACAAAGGCGCGATTCGCGAAAGTTTTTCGTGCGACATGTGCTTCACGATTGTGTCATGCTCATACTCGGCTTCACTGAAGAAGTCGTTGAAAATATCCAGAATTCCTCTTTGGTTGTGTCTAAAATCAAATTGCATATATTCTAGTGAAATTTCATTAAATTTTTTCAAAAGATTCAGTTTTGCAGAGAGAATTTGCTGATTAAAAATAAAAAAATTTTATGAATAGTTCATAAACTCTCATATTAAAGAAAATTGAGAAAAATAAAATGAACCTACGCTGAGAGAGACCCGAATATTTTCAAAAAGCTGCCGATAGCGCTGCGAATACGATCCGAAGTGATAGTCATTCTGAAAAAGTCAAATCGGCACTGAACTTTGAGTGGGGAGCAACCTGTAGAAAAAGGCCATGAGCACTTTCGCCCAGGACTTTTGAGTGAAGTCGATGCCGATCTCGTTCAACAGGATCTTGCCTGCTCCTTCGCACGTCTTCAAGCAAAGTGCTTCTTCCACGCTCTGAAGTTGCACATTTTTTTCCGTTAAGAAGTCGCAACGACTTCCTCGAGCATTATCCCGGAAAATTCGTCCATCAGTTCTGTAGCACCCGTGCTTTTGGAGTCTCTCTTGAAAACTTGCGAGAACTGCGCGTTTATTACCTTGTAGCCGTGCTTTCCGATCATCTCCACCATGAAGTCAATACACGCGAGCTGTTAATCAAATGTATTTGAAAACTAATCTCAAAACTATTTGATGGAAATCTTTGTCTTTAATCTGAATTGGCTCATCCTTCAACGAAAAAATGCTCCATCAAAAAACACGCTGAAGGGTCCAAAAAAGTGTATTGATTTCGACCAAGTTCCCAATCACCTTAACCAGGAGAACGTCATGATGAAGCCTCTTGTGGACGATTTCGTACAGACCGTGGCAAGCCTCGCGGCCGAAAACTCCGATCATTGCAAAACATTGTATGGCCCAAACCCGACACTCCACTTTTTTATGCGACAGAAACTGTCTCTGAAAAAAGTCCAACTATCTTGGGAGCAACTGGTTTACATTAGACCATTAAGAAAACTCCAATTGTTGTCTTCAATTATATCTTTCAGCTCGAAACATGAAAGTCTCTGCTTATCCTTAAATGTTTCATGCAAATTGAGATGAAACCTATGGACCAGACCCTAAGCTTCTACCATTCCAGCAATAGGTGAAATGGGAGAAATATAAATGTTACAAAGAGAAAACTTGTTTTTGGCTCAAAAGAAATAGTCGGAAAGCAAAAACTGATTGGAAGGGCATGTGACCTCTTTGAACCGTAGGTAAAAAGGAAAGAAAAGCTCATTTGCTTATTTCAAGTTTTTTGGGAGTTTTATTTTTCATTAAAAAAAACCTACAATTTTGTTCAGCCGCTCGATAATTTCATCCGAAAGATCGCTAAAAAGACCCGTTTTGAGAGCTCCGTGAAGAAGTTGCAACTCGTAGATGTCGGCGTCCTCGGACTTGAAATCGGTTCTAAAAGGTAAAAATAGTGAGAAACCTGGACGACGTGGCCGTTGCTGCCAGAAATGGCCAAAGAAATTGTCTCGTCGGCGGTGTCCGGTGCGTAAGAGAGCATGACGTCGGCGATGACGTTGAGCAAAGTCTGAAGGCTGCGGTGAGGCTTGAGATGGACGAGCGGACGCACCCGGGGACAGCCTTCGTGGATCCGGCCGAGGTCCTCCATCACCACGTCCGTCAGCAGCTTCATCGGCTGTCGTAGAAGTATTTTCTCCAGCAACATCCGCCACTCTTTTCTCAGTCTGAAAGAAAAAAACCATGCAAAGATTCAAAAATCTTCTGACAACCGTCTATATAGATTTTCTGTTTGAAACTTTTTTATCAACAAGTTAAACAACTGAAATTTATTAAAGACTTCGAAATTATGCCGTTCTTAATTCTCGAATCATCCTCAGATAAATCAACCTCTCACTAGCCACTCGTCGAAACTTTTTAACGAGAGAAGTGTGTAAGGTGGACATCGCAGGTATGGTTCAAACTTCTGTGGTAGATAGTCTCAGGTGTGAGTATTCGAAAAAAAAATAATTATCTGCTAACTAGGGAACGTTTTGTATGTGAAAAAGTTGCTTTCTCGTGTTTCTTATGAGATAGTGAATAACAGTAGACGTTTTGAAAATCGAAAAACCGAGGAAAATCAGTTGTTAAGCATTTTAGCGTATGTTTTCCCATATTTATGTATATATTTTTAATTCGAAAAATCAAAAGATTCATCTGCAAGCGCCATAGGGTATATATATATATATATATATATATATAGGCCTATCTACCCCAAAAGTTGGAACCAGACCTGCGATGTTCACCTTACACACTTTTCTTGTAAGAACGAAATTTTTTCGATTGCCGGTTAAGGTTCTATGATCCTTCGATAGATTCTTTTCGACTCCCTCTATTTCCATACGAGAAAAATGACTTACCTTCTAGTCATTTCAGAGTTTTACCATGTCTCCGATATGCAAACTTTCGTCTTTTTTTCATAAAAATTATGAAAAAAAATGCTTTTTGATCAAAGATGTCTTGTATGGAGTTTAATCGCTTTGAAAACTTCTAAAGTTGTAATAACTGTAAGTTTTAACGCCATGGTGAAGCTTCAGTTTGCAAAAAAAAAAACTTGCTCTGTGTTTTTATCGCGTTCCAAATGTTTGAGTATGAGCAGAAGATTGTACAGAGTATGCTGTAAATGAAAAGAGAATCGTGAAATTATCAAATCGGGTTCAAACTATCGCCCACAGGTGAAACCTCTTGTAAATGGTTTTCCTCTTCGTCCGCCGGTTCCTTCTCTTCTTTTTCCTTCCACGCGTCCAAGAGACTGAAACAAAGAGCACATAAAATCAAATAAGATCATTTTTCATCGGCCCACTTTGCACAAAAACCTAGCGGTTGTGATTTCATGAGTGAATAAGTTGGAATTTCTAAGTCTGAACATAAATTTTAGTTGAATACCCAGTGAACCAATAATAACCCTTTTAAGAATTTTGTTAAATCGCTCTCCATTCTTTACATTCGTCTTTGAACGAACAACAGAGTCGTTGTCCACTTTATCACATACATATTGAGGTCTTCAAAATATCGAAAAGCTTTTCCTTCGGTGTTTGACTCAAGTTTTTCAGAATGAGTTGTGAACCGGCCTGTTGGCGATCTGAAGCGTGTGAGGCAAGCCTGGAGCGAGCCGGTCGATGGTATTCTCGTGGTCACATTTGCGTGGAGCGCGCTCCACTGCGAACTCCACCATGAACCGCCAGCAAGTCGTGTACATCAACTGCTCGCTCGTGTTCGCCCTGAAAAAGTGATTATGTTTTTTTGTTCCATTCATCTCTGATAAGAAAAAGCTCATGGCGGAGAGAACATAATTTCTCGCTGAAGGATAACTCTTACCAAGTTGAGTAAAAATTTTTAAATTGGTAATAAGTGTAGCTCACCTGGATACACCTTCTTTTTTTGCAATGCACCTTGGGACGACCAGACCCGCGAAATGGTCACAAAAGGGCATTTTTTCTTAATTTTTTCCGTCATGCTCAACTTCGCGAGGTCGTTTGCGCAATTTAGAGAGCACCTTCGCAAGCTCTGCTAGTCATGGTGCTTTTCAAGCTTGAAACAAAATTTGAAAATTTTAGCAAATTGTGAAGTTTTTGAAAGGAACTTCCCTAACAAAGTAATACTATTAGGGTGGCATGAAAGAAATGCGGCTCGTTTTTGTCGGCTTCTAATTCATCCAAGAAGCAATATTATTTAGAACGGTATTTTTTGTCGAAAAGGGCTTGTCCTTGTGCGTCATTGGATATATAGTTTGCTGACTTTCATTCCGCCTTTCTATAAGAAAAATAGCTCTGAAAACTTTCTTTCAAAAACTATATTCGCGGACCTAGTTTTCGCGTTATTTCAAAAAGTACAAATCAAATTCAGAAGCTTGGCACCTTTTAATATTATGATCACCATTGATGCTTTTTTCTGATAGTTAACATTTTGAATTGCTTTAGCGCTATTCACTAGGCGAAAAGACCTTTGAAATCAAAAAACACGGAAAAATCGACGATAAAGGCGATTTTAAAAGGCCATTAGACTGGATCCATAACAGACGCCTGTGAAACTGGCTCATCAGTTAATACACACCCATAGCTGCAAGACAAAACAGTTTTATTACGCAATGGAGTGCAAAAAGGAGAAAGGAAAAATGGGTTCACAATATCGCTTTTTTGCGAAAATGTGTTAGCCCAAAATCAGAAAAATTGTTCTGCAAACTTCTGCTTTTCCGCTACAATGCTCAGACATGGCTCTTCGCATTTATCATCTGTCCGAATCATTGGATCGCTAAACAGCCAAAAAAAAAAAAATTGAAAAACTCCGATGAAGTCCAAATTTGGGGGTGCAACTTCTTTGACTCGTAGGCGGCCCAGTTTGTGAGAGAGAGTATCCATTCTCTGCGTGAGCATTGTTGACAAGGTGCTAATACAGATGGGAATTACAGTTCGAATTGATTTGTGATAACCTTGTTTTTATGATAAAATTAAATGACATCAAAAACACGCATTTCTTTCCTGCCACCCTAATATTACATCCGACACTGAAATCCTTTTGAAATTGATTAGAAATTCTTACGGAACGGTAAGCAGTTCTGTTGCAGTTTTTCGTGTCAGAAGGTTGGGAGGACTGGGACTGACGTCGTTGCAAAGTTCCTCGATAAATGCATCCATTTCTTTGGTCGAAGTTTTGTAAAGACGCCGGAGAGTATCGATAACTTCAAAGAAAACGCTCTTCAGGTCGGTGTACTCCTGAAGAACAGACTCAGGGAGAGGGAGTTGACCTATGGACTCACCTGGGCAGTGATGGCAGGCGGCAGCATGTTCAGCAACATCATCGAGGCTGTTGAGAACAACGGGTTCTGGTTGAGCATCTCCTCGTCGCTGTCCAAAACTTCGCCCTGTGAGTCCACCGCTGCAATTATTCTTCCATTCATGTTGCGTCCAGAGTCAACACATAGTCTCTGTGTTTTGATGAAAATGCGTCATTCTTTGGCTACGACCATTTTATCTTAATAAGGCCCATGTCTAGATGACTTTGAAAGCCCCTGCAAAACTATCCAACTTCTTCATTGAACTTTTTTGTACCTCTTGTCTCATTTCTATCACTCAAATGATTGATACGAAATGTACTAGAATGAAAAAAGCTCGTCAATTCTTAGATACAAATATGAACACCTATCTCTCACCATAACTTACACTAGCTACGGTAAGAGGCAATGGCTCAAAAATATGCGATGCGAGATTTTTTAATGTTTAGGTCTAAAGAGAGTTTCACGAAAAAAACTGATTCATATTTTGGTCTAGGAAAAAAAAATTGAGCTACGAATATTTAAAAGATTTAGAAAACAAAGGCTACTGAAAAAAAAAAATTAAAACTTTTAGATAATTATTTCTTCACAGGCCTCCCTATGGACATTCATCGACGTAGATACTCGAAAATCGGACTTCTGGGCTGGTTTCAAAACTAATCTTTCTTGAACTCCCCGAGTTCTCAAGAAGTTTTTTCGATTTATAATTAACAGCAACGCAAAGATGAACTCACCGACAACTTCCCCTTTATTGATTCTTCTCATCACTTTCTTCCTTTTATCGGCCAGAATGGTTAGATACTTTTGAATGATAAACTTTTTGGCGGCCTCGCGAATCGCAGCTGAAAACGAAATGATGCTAGACGATGAAGTTTCTCGCACGATCGTAGTCCTTGAGAAGAGTGAAGAGGAAGTCGAATCTTTCAACGTTTGATGTCATTTTGAAGTTCACGTCGCCGAACTTTTCTATGGCAAGGCAGCGAACCTGAGGCTTTCAGGCTTTTTCTCAAAAAAACTTTGTTCGAACCTTGGTGTTATTGTCACAAAGTGCGAGTTTCCTTAGGAAGTCGGCCTGTTCTTTGCTGGTCACTGAAAAAAGCTGAACGGCTGCCATGCGGCACAGATGAGAATAATCCAGAAGACTCTTCATGACAACTGTAGCAGAACTTTGAAAAAAGATGTTTGTGGCCGAGAGACTTTCTTTGGGGTTGCGCTCATCTTCTCCGAGAAAGTCCGCGTCGAGTTCTACGTTCTGTATTACACCAAAAGCGGCGATCGTCTCCACTCGAGTGGCGGGGTTCTGAATATCGTTCGAAATTCTACAGTGCGCAAGAATTTTTGGGTGTCATTGTGACATCATAGCGACTTTGATGGACTTCAGGATTGCTCCACGCAAATGCTACTCAACCATCTCCTTTGAACTTGCTATCACCTTGTCTTGAATCAACATCTTGAGAACGTCGACAAATCTTCGGAGCTGCCGATTGGGTAGAAGTTCGCTGTCGCCGCCGCGCGACTCCCTCAGACAGCTGCGGAACACGAAGGCGATCAACACGGCGATGTTGACTCGAGCGTCGGCCAAACTGAACGCCGACCACTGCAAAAACGATGTTTTGCGCCAAATCAGTCGTCTGTACCGTTTCGCAAAACTCGCAGAGAAATTCAACCACTGACACATCGCCAGAGGAGTGCAGGACGGAGGCTGCAAAATTGGCCACCACTTCTAGTACAAACCGACGTTGTTCTCGAAAATTTGAACCATCTTCCACCTAAAAACATTAATACTGTGGGAAAAATATCTTGAGTAGCTATATACGAACTATTCGCAACAAATTCTGATCCCTCTCCTATCTTTTTTTGGTGATGCTACCGTGATGACGTTGCATTTTCAAGTTTATTTGAGCTCGTCGATGAGGAAAAAGAGACGCAGACTGTTTCAAGTGGTTGAAATTAAGCTAGGCAACAATCGCCAGGAAAATATAACCTACAATGAATGATAGACGAACGTCTAACTCGTTGAAGAACGGAAGTCGGAGCTGTTCAACAGAGAGCACCTTGAAAAGTATCATAGGTACCATAGAAACAATTATCTGACCTTTTTGTACTCCCTTTCGAAAGCTCTCACTCCGAGTTTGAAGTCATCATGACTACCCGAAGACGTGAAAATCTGTTGGACTACTCCAGTCAACGCGTCCCTAAAAACGATGTACTTATTAGTTGACTAGTACCAATGAATGTTCTCTTTGTCAAAGCTAGGAGGGAAATATAACCTACCGGCATTTCTTGTTATCGGGTGGCGCGAAACTTCTGTTTCCGGTTATCCTGGTCTCAGCTTGGAGAGCAGCGAGTTTCGCATTTAGAATCGCTTCGTCGTCAATGTCATCATCTGCGTCATCGTCGTCTTCTACATCGCTAAGCAGAGTCGAGACGTCAAATATCTCTCTTGGACTGCTGCCTTCTTCACGGACTGGAGAGAGGCGGAAACGTCGTCTTCTTCTTCCTTGCGGCCGGGACATTCCTCACCGTAACAGTTCCAATCAATGAACTTTTTTGAGTATTTTACGAAAATTCATAAAAAATTAACATGCTTTTGAATCGCACAAAACCCATGTAAACAATCCATCAATCAATCATTTATTTTTTGTTTTAGTTCACTTGGTGGTGAGAAATGAATTTTTAGCACTATCGAAACGTCGCCTTTGGTCTTCTTTTATCAGCATAGTCTTACGGAATTTCGCCTCGTTTTTCTGTGCGTTTGCCGAGCTCAGAATTAAATGAATATTGAAACTGGGGCCCGAATACCGTGCTCTAGTTAAAACCTCGAAATGAGATCGACCACAAAAGAGTGCACGCAAGCAATACGATGGCATGAATATTTTTAGAGAAATTAGCCAGATATAATCAAATGTAGCTTGAAGCTTAGAAGCAGAAAAAATTTCAAAGAATGAAAAAGATTACCAGAATTTTGAAGAGTCAAAGATAACTTTAAACTTTGCAAAATTACTTTGAGCCTGGCCTTACAGAAAAAAAGTATGAATATCATCAAACAGAATTTTTTAATATTCATACCTAATATGTGAAAAAAAGTTCTGTTCAAGTTATTTTGGATAAAAACTGCGAATTTTTTTTAATTAACTGAGAAAATAATGCATGATCCGAGTTTACTAACCTAGCCAATTTTGGTCATTAAACCTGGTTATTAATGAACGACTAATCCGAAAAAAATTTGTCAGGAAAATGAAAGTTTTTAATTGCACAACCGTCGCGCCAAAAAATTTTTGAGGCATTCGTGCTCTATTGCGTCCCCCGAGTTGCCTAAGGAGCGACTTAAGGGTTTTTCGTAAAAAGAAATAATGAGTCACGAAAAAATATTGAAGTTTGTGAGTCGAAGTTATTTTGTCTTTTTATTGAGCAGATTGAACAATGAAAGCTTCAAATTTAGCTAGAATAGTTTCGATTTTAAGGAATCTCAGGCTTCAAGGAGTTTCTTTTCCTTTTTTGGCCCTCATTTTTTTCGTTTTTTTTGTGAAATTTTCCCGGAGCTCGGGCAAAACTGAAAAGCTCCCCAAAAGCTTTTCTCAAAAAAAGACCTTGAAAGAGTCCCCAGCAGATCTTTTTTATATCATTTCAATTCTTTTTTGCATCTTTCTCATATCCTCTAACAAAAAGGATGCTGGAAAGCAACTGAAAAGATTTGAGTGGATTCAAAAAGGATCCTCTGAGGCTATGAAAAAGGTGCTCAAAAGCTTTTTTTACATCGTTTTAGGAGCTTTTAGAGGAAGCTTTTTATATATCTCCTCTCAGGACCCTCAAAGGAACTTTTCCGTTTTACCTATGAGTACTTCAATATTTTATAGCCATTTTTTTCAAGTTTCTGATGGCTCATTGGTTTCACCGTAATCCGATAAAACCCACAGAGTTTGCAAAGTTCGATTTGAAAGGAGTTTTAACAACCGATACATGCAGTAAAATTTGCGGGTCAGTTTTTTCAAAACTTAATTAATTTTTTTAGTTGCCAACGTATGAATTATGCCGTGTTCAATTTGATTCCGCGAAATGCAAAATGATCTCTGACTCTCCAAAATGTAGTGGTCTTTCCCTTTCTCTAACGGGTATTTTGCATTTCGCGGAATCAAATTGAACACGGCATTCGAATCATTTTAAAAACAGCGAAAAGGAAAAAAGGTGTATTTGCTACGTGTATTTGTTGATGAATATTTAGCTTGATTGTGGAAAAAACAGTATCGAAAAATTTTCTAAGGAGTAAGGTTTGTGGCACTGTATGTCTATGGATTTTTTTGTTTTCGTTTTCATAAGCATGTACATTGGATTTTTATTTGTTCTTAAATTTCAGAGAACTGCGTTTGAGAAGAGAAAAGCTCGTCGGCTACTTTTCTAATGCAGGAAACGACTTATTCGAAGTATCTAAAGAGTTTAATGACTATTTGCGGCTTCTAGCGGGCTTTCTTGTCGAAATCGGAAGCAATCAAACCACTAGGTTCATTAAAAAATTTTATTTGAATTTTTTCCAATAAAAAAGTACGAGTTCACATATCTATCAGTTAGGAACTATTCTTTGGAAGAGGAATTTGAGCTTTCAGTGATGGCGGAAATCGGAACAGCAAGCTTATTCCATTAATTCGTTTCAAATGGGGACATTCCATGCTGGTCGAGACGGCAACGTATGTATATATTATTAGTTATCAAATAGTGAGGCTTTTTTGTCTGCTTTTTTTGTTGACTGGATTCTAAATTCATTCTGATGATTGAACTTCTCATTTCAGAGAGCTTTCCGATTCTTGGTTTGAAGCTCTCAACATCATATTGAACATGGCCATGTGGTTGCTGAAACACGCTGCTTGGGTTGCTGGAAAAGACGAGGTTCATTTTGGATTTATTTTTTGTTTTTTTTTTTTAATTTTATTTGATTTTTTGAACGAAAACTCTTTTTGACAGGTTCGCGATTCAGAGGCAAAAGAGTGTTTGAACTGTCTTCGTCAGGCTGCTGGGATGTTCTCTTATGCCAAAGAGACATCAAGTACGTTTTTTCAGATTTTCTCGTCGTATACCGAATATACATATAGCGCGCCCATATTTTCATATTTCAAATATGAAGTAGCTTGCTCCGCCGCCACGGACATGGTTACTTTTCGCGTGGTTCGATTTTCTCATTCAACGATAACGCTGCAATTTTTGTTTTTGTTTTTTTTATTTAATGGATGGTTTTACTAGCCAGGCAATGGTTTTATTTATCGTGTCAGAACCTTTTTTCGAAGGCTCAAGCCAGCCATGAATGAGCTATATACTGTTCTTTTCATCTTGATTTGCCGTACGTGAAATAGTAACAATATTAAAGTACCGTTTTTTTTTTTCATTTTGAAAACGCTTTTTTTCTGTTCTATGATCTCGTGATCTTGTCCACTAAAAAAAATTATCACGAGCGCCTGCTCTTTGTAGTACAAAAAGGGGCCTTTGATGTTGTTATTTTTTTATATTTGAGAGTTTTATCGTACATTATAAGGTATTTCTATACTGTTATAAAAATAAAAAAATGTCAACGTACCGAAAAGAAATATTTTACAATTTAAATTGATGCGGTGGAAGTTTTTTTTTTACAGCTTTGCTCGAAAATACCATGTTTTCCTTCTTTTTTATAGAACGATTCACATTACAGCTCGGCTTTCTGGTGCAAATGAGGTCGAGGGCTCCGATTTCGATCCGAAAGTCATGGAAGCCTACACGTTGCAGGTTCGTGTTTAAATAGGGTGTAAGATTCGAAAAAAGAATTTTTCTTTGGTTCTTGTTTGAATGACAGTTTTGAACAAAAATAATGATTGGAGGCGACTGCCGAGGCGCAAGAAGTGATAATCGCTCGAGCCATCGACATGAAACACAATCATTTGCTCATCTCGGCGCTTTCTGCCAACACGGCCAGCATTTTCGCCAAGGCAGGTAAGAAGCTCGATTTTAAGATTTTGCCAAATGACTTTCTCTACCTGGTTCTCGATTCGGATCATTTGCAGAACAGAACGTTTCTTCGTTGTCCGAAGAGGTTTTCGGTAGATGGAGTCGCTATTTGCAACTCAAACATCACTTTTACTTGGCATATGGCTACGCTTTCCTCGGCGAAGCACAGCTCTCTGAGGACAAATGTGGTGAAGCTGTCAGGTAGATCATAAAAACCTTGGGCAATTTAAAAAATGGTTCTTAAAAGCTCCTGGTTTTTTTTTAAGGAAAGTTATTCTCTTAGCTTCACAAGTTTCAATGGAAATTCTCGGAAAAAATGTTAGTTGAATAAAAAAAAAAACGATTTTTCGTTTCCTAGGACAAGAGAACAAAAATGACGGAGCATTAGAGGTTACTATCGATGATAATCACGGTTCTTATGATAATAAAAAAAAAACTGACAATTGTGGTCGATAAAAAAGTAGAGGATGTAGGAATAAATTTTTCTTTGTGATTTTGAAAGTTTCCAGAGCTTGTAAACAAGGTATATCCGAGTACGAAGTGGCCAAGGACCTCGCGGCCAAGTATGCGACAGCCTCGGGGCCCGGTTTTCCATAGAGTTCCGAAAATAATTCATTATTTTCGTACAGGCACGAGAATAAAACCTGAACAACATCTGTTCTTCCGCAGGATTGAACCTCTCCTCAAACGACATTTAGAGAAAGCAGAACGTGAAAATGGGTTCATTTACCATCAAAAGGTTTACAAAACCATCATCCGAGTGATGCAAAAATATAACCCTAATATCGAGGTTTATCAGAAACCAATCTATTGCAGGTTCCTGAAGAATGTCAACAATTGGAAACAGAAGTGAGTTACGGCTTGGCGAAGGCAGAATCATTCTCTTATCCTCCGCCAGCTGAGGTTTGTTCTACTATGAGAAAAACTAGGGGGTGGAAGTTTTTTGTCAGATCTTTCATTTTTCCGGATGAGTAATAGTTTCATGAACCATTTGGATAACTCTTACAAAAAAAAAACGATGAGCCAAAGCCTCTTTTAGGTGTGGAATACCTCGGTATACACGGCGTTCGACTTGTCAAAAGCCCAAATGCCCGACTTTTCAAAGGTGAAGAAGAGCAAATCGAAATTGGAGCCCGTCAAAGAAGAAAAGATTTATCAAACTGAAAAAGACCCCAGTAACTCGAGTGGTTGTGTTATTTCGTAATTTAAGCGTACTCAAACAATATCTGACAAAAGCTTTTTTTTCATAACCCTCTCAAAGTTATTTCATAACCCTCTCAAAGTTATAAACAGACTAACTTCATGATTGAAAAAAATCTTGTCACATCATAAAACACCCTCCAGTCTATGTACAGATCACTCACACCTTAATTGATTCACCCAAGTGCGATCCGATGAACACCTTTTTGGCGTCCGATTAACCACTCGAACTTCAGTAACGCGAAACGGAGGCGAATCGGACGTGTCAGAGCATTTTTAGTGACCGCAGTAGCGTCAGCACTCTTAATTGATCCCTAGAAATGCTCAGAAACGTCCGGTTTTCGTTACCGAGATTCGAACATGCGAAAATCAGTCAAGCAAAGTCATTTAGAGCAAGTTTCCGCGTGAATGAATCTGGGTGTGCATGAACTACTACTGTGTTGCCAAAATTATGAATAACATGTAAAATGCTGTATTAATATATGGAATCGATTTTTGATCCGAAGTTTAGTCTGAAATAGGTCAGTCCTCCTTCTGACAACCCTTGACGATAAAATCTGTACTTCAATTAATAAAGTGTATGAATATGATTTTTTTTTTTTCGATCATGACATTTGAGATGTTTACTTAGTGGATGGCTATTTAAAGACGTAAATATGTAACGGCGGTTCAATGTACACATTGTGACACGGCGCCGTGAGGAAAACTCGTCTTTACCAGTTCGAAGCTCCGTTTTTAGACGGCTCCACGAGAAGACTCACTTGTGCGAGTCGCCGTTGCCACAGACCTCGACGTACAACTACTTCGACTCTTTTCATGCCCATGTTTCCCTGCTCGCTCCCTTTTATTCTGACGCTGGTATACGTTACGTCCACAATCAATTATGTCACGGCTGTGAGTATCCTACTAACTAGGGAAGGGTCTCCATTCGCAGTGGGAATTCTGAATGAGACTAGGTTCACTAGATGTAGTTTTTCACGCTGATTCCAAATCTGGTCTCAAAAACTGCCTTCGAGGCCTATGAAAAAAGTTAGGGGCTCTCAAAGTCGAAAAATTCAATGTCTCCGATTGAGCTCATTTTTGGAGGGTGTATAGTCCTTTATTCCCCGGTCACGAAAAACCATTTGATTTTTTTCGAAAAGGTTTTGGAGCCCAGATATGATTTTTCAAAGCTCGGCGCGTGATAAGAGCTTGCGAGCGCGGTGTCCTATGGCGATCCGGCGGCCGTTGAAGCAACGGTAGCGAGGAGCAGTGGTAAGGCGGCGGACTGGGGATCACGAGGTCATAGGTTCGGTGCCCACTCTGTGTAATCTTTTTTTGCAATTTTTCCTTTTTTGGATAATTTCTTCTAACTGCTCCTTTTTTGAGTTTTGAGCCGTAAACACGAAAACACTGCGTTTTGAACCTATTCGAACATCTCGACTTCTTTTCGTCGCAAATTTTTTTCATGAACTTTTCCGTGATTTTCCATGTGTATGAGCATGTGTTGGAGTGTCAAAATTTTCAGAAAAAAAACTTTTGGTTTTTGTTTCTTTTTTTATTTTTCCAAAAGCTCTTTAGACCAAAGTCATCACAGCTACGCTGATTGACCAGAGAGGAAAACTTTTATTTTCTTCAAAAGACTCTCGTGATTTGCAGTGGGCTCACCTTTGACCATCGCCTTTTGTCAAAAAAAAAAGGAAGTTGCGCGATTCGCCCCAAATGGAAAAGATTGAGAATGTCTAAAAAACTTATATCTCAAAGAAACTTCATTTTTCATATTTCCAATTTCTTTTTTTATTTTGGAACTTTCTACTCGCCAAAGTATGACCTTTCAAAATTTTCACTGAACGGAAATTTTTAGGGAAGTTTTTTTTCTAGTATTTTTATTTACCAATCAAAAGGAGCCTGCTCAAAAGTTTCAGCAAAAACCTGAAATAAATTTGGATTTTTTTTTCTAGTGAAGAGGTAAATGGGCACCGAAGTCTGAAAAAAAAAATCACTAAAAAAGTTCCGCATTATCTATCTGCGCAGCTGTGATGACTTTGGTCTAGAGAGCTTTCGAAAAAAGAAAAAAAGAAAAAAAAACCAAAAGTTTTTTTTCTGAAAATTTTGACACTCCAACACATGAAAAATTGCAAAAAAAGATTGCACAGAGTGGGCGCCGAACCTATGACCTCGTGATCCCCAGTCCGCCGCCTTACCACTGCTCCTCGCTACCGTTGCTTCAACGGCCGCCGGATCGCCATAGGACACCGCGCTCGCAAGCTCTTATCACGCGCCGAGCTTTGAAAAATCATATCTGGGCTCCAAAACCTTTTCGAAAAAAATCAAATGGTTTTTCGTGACCGGGGAATAAAGGACTATACACCCTCCAAAAATGAGCTCAATCGGAGACATTGAATTTTTCGACATTGAGAGCCCCTAACTTTTTTCATAGGCCTCAAGGGCAGTTTTTGCGACCAGATTTGGAATCAGCGTGAAAAACTACATCTAGTAAACCTAGTCTCATTCAGAATTCCCACTGCGAATGGAGACCATTCCCTAGTAAGTAATGAGGGCTTCAGTGACTTTTTCAGTTGGTTTGTTGCTGGTAAGCAGAAAAATTGTAAAAATTAGTGATTTATTATTACTTTTTTTCTGTTCCGTAGTTCGTTCAAGTCTGGCAGCAGAAAAACTGTTTTGGCGTTCAGGGACATATTTATTTTATTTAATCAAATAGTTTATTATAGTCCCATCCCGCGCCAGCTTCTCACGATTTTCGTTTTCCTCTGAGGTACAGAACTCTTCCTTTCGATGCGCGCGATGTTATCTCTGCCTGCGCCTTTAATATAACGGAAATTTCAGACCAAATAAAAGAGGCAGGCAGAGATAATATCGTGCGCATCGAAGGGAAGGGTTCTCCCAGCTCAGAGCGAAACGAAAATCGTGACAAGCTGGCGCAGAATGGCCATATATGTACTTCAAGGAACTTTCCGACGGCCACCTTTCCGACGGATCCCTTTCCGACTTTTTTCTCTTGTTTTTCAATTTGCAAGAAATCTATAAACATTTTTTTTTTCCTATTTCTTTGTGTTTTAATCATCAACCAACTACCTACTTTATATAGGAAGATTAAAAACGAAGATTTTATCGAGAAAAAAAGTCGGAAAAAGATTCATCGGAAAGGTAGCCGTCGGAAAGTTCCCTAGCGGTATGAAAAAACTTTTTTTTTCATACCACCGAAAAATCCAGGAATAGACCTGTACGCCTTCCACTTTTAACGAGGTGGTCTGGTGTAGTAGGATTTTACTGTCATGTGACTTTTTTGGAAACCAAATGAATCAAAAGAAATACTTTTTGCATCAATTTCATGGCATTTCAAAATTTTTTGGTCCGAGTAGCTCTAGTGAGATTGAAAATGTAGCCTACTGACCCGTTTCAGTGAAAATTCCTGCTGAAATATCTGTTACAGTAGGTTAAAAACGTTAAAACGGAGTTGCGAAAAAAAAAACGATTGAAAATTTTTAAAATTGATAATGATTAGTTCAGGGCGTCATCGCCACGTACTTGACCTAGTTGCCAAAGACAACGTAAATAATGGCTCATTTCTATCGTTTGGCTAAATGGCTTGGCTTGGCCGCGAAGCCAAGGGCTGCCTTCCCAATCCTCCACCTCTGCATTTTTGCATCTTTTTCACATCCTTTAACAAAAAGGATGCTGAAAAACAACTAAAAAGATTCGGGAGGATTCAAAAAGAATGCGCTGAAACTGTGAAAAAGGAGCTCAAAAGCTTTTTCACATCATTCTAGAAGCTTTTAGAGGGACCTTTTTACTTCCCTCTCAGGATCCTTCGAGGATCCTCAAAGGAACTTTACCTATTTTTTTTTGTAAGTATGCATCCCTGATTCATACAACTGCGGCTATTTAGTACAGTTTGTTTACTTGTATGCCCAAAACTATTTTTCCGCGAAATATATCACTTTAATGAAATCAATGAAGCCACAAGCGATTTAAAGCCTCTTAAGTTAGAGATCTAATCTGAATTTTCAATCTTCAGTGTATTGGATTGGGCTGTATGGGCATCGGAGGCTGCCTCCCATCGCCATGCTTCCTGGGCTTATGTCTTCAAACGCCAATGGTGAGTGGCTGGCACGAGTTCAATTCAACCGCCAGCGACTATTTGGATAGCTCCTCGATTGCTTATTTTTCAATTTTTTATTTAATTTTTCTTGTGTGCATTAAATAATAGTAGAATAGAAACAAAAAGAGGGCATGATCCAATTCACAACCGGCACGAAAGTTACTAACTCACAATCAGGCTTGTGCGTCAGGCCGGGCGGCCCGGGCTTTGGGCTTCATTTTTTGGGAAAAGCCCGCGTGGGCTCGGGCTACAAAATATATATGATGGTAGGACGAAAAATTTGATCCGCAAAAATACGTCGCGTGAAAATTGCGACCACATAACTTATGAGCCACGAAAATTTAAGCCTTTAAAATTTTGTCCATTTAAATTAGAAATTACTTGCATATAAGGCTTTCAATTTCTGTATTTTCTGTTTTTCTTTGTTCTGGTCTTCTTCAAACTTCTGCTCTAGTACTGTTTCTCATTTCTGCGTTGAGTTATCCCGGCGATCCCAGGATTTGATAACGTTTTGAAAACCAAATTTCGAGTTTTAACTCTTTTTTTCTTCTGTTTTTCCCAATTAACTTTGTGCCATAAATCATTAAAGTTCAAAAATCTGTCAACTAAATACGTTTTTCCATGTTTATAACAAAAAAAATGACAGACTTCTTATTGATGATAATGATTGAAATTTCTAGAAACCTACCGAAAACAGTGGCTCTAGCTCTGGAATTAATCAATATCAAGAATAAAGGGGGGGAAAAAAAAAGGAAAAGAAAGAAATTCAAAAAGTCATCATCTGAGCAATTTTAAAATTTTACGAAAAAATTTTGAAGGCTTAAAATTTTCGTGGCTCATAGGTTATGTGGTCGCAATTTTCACGCGACGTACTTTTTGCGGACCAAATTTTTTTCGTCCTACCATCATACTCAGGCACTGACGGCGCGTGTTTGTTGCCAAAAATGCGCATGCGCGCCGCCTGCTGCGCGCACGCGCGGGGTGTCTCTTTTGTTTTTTAGCTTTTTAACTAATTGAAAAGTTATAAATTTAATATTTTTCATGTCTGTTCATCTCTTTAACATTGCTCTGCACCAGTTTATAACAATTAGATTGCACAAAAAAACGTGAAATATCAAAAGTTTCACTTGGCAACTTTTTTTCATAAATTTGTTCGAAAGTGCTCGGAACAACTTTAAAAACGTGAGCAGGGGCACTGGGTAATATCAAAAATATAAAAATATATTTCAAAAACCTTATTTCAGTGGAAAAGGCGAAAAAAAGAATCAGTACCCCCCGCGTGCGCGCACCAGTGCCTGAGTATATATATAATGAAATTAATTCCATTTGAGCATAGAAAATTTCTGAAAAAAATTTTTGAATTGCTATTATAAAGCGGAATCAACAACTTTCTTGTGCAGATAAACATTATTCACAGACTTTGAAAGAAACAACTCGGCAAGTGTTAATTTTATATGTTTTTAAAAAAAAATAACGAGGAACAGATTAAGAGGGTATGAGATAATGCATGTTATCGAAAACTTTTCGTCTACAATCTGATGACCGTTTTAGAAAACCCTCTGGAAAACTTCTTCCTAGACACAGTAGGATTTCTGAATGAGAGCAGGCTTATTTAGGGGTTCACTGCGGATCAGCCGCTCAATTTTGTAAGTTTATTGAGATTTTGATATAATATAATAAATATTACATTTGAAAAAAACTTTAAAAACCTTAAAATATTAAAATCTTTTGCAGTTATCGATGGGTTGCCCGTGTCGCATTGGCTTTTCTTGCTTGAACGGTGGTTGCGTTGCCAGAGCGGCAGCCGCAAAAACTTTTCTTGAGCAGGAGTCTGAAAGTTCAATCGTCTCGAAAGTGAAAAAAAAACTTCTGTTGGCAAACTTAAGGAGATTTAGACGCCAAATGACCACTTCCAAACTTGCTGTGAGCTTCTAGATGTCCCGGTTGCATGTCGTGGAATGTGTTCGTATGAGGGTTACACAAGTAGCACGGTATTCATTTTTCAGAGAATGCAAAAACAGTTGTTCACTCTTATTTGCAGATACAAAATGCGCTTTCTTCACAAGATCAGTGCCAAATATCAGATGTTGCAAAAGTGACGTTCTGTGCAGCTCGTGGCGCGGACCACACTACCTGCTGCACGCATTTACAGATCAAACCTCAATGTCAACTATTTTGTGACCAAGTTAGCAATATTCGAAAACTTTCATTGTATTTCGTCATTTTCAGAGACCCGGAAATAAGTCAACTCTGTCACTCGAGCACATTGAATGCATGCCTCTGTTCGAAGATATTAAAGGATGTTTTCTGGAACATGCATTAACGGAGTACTATGAAGAAAATGACGCAATGAAAACTAAAGATACAACCGCCATGTTGCGTTATTGAAAAGAAAATAAATCATCAAAATTTTATTTTCACATCGATAATTATTGTAAAACATTAACAACGAATATTTTATTTAATCATGTCTCACAGCCAACATAAACGAAGGCAAATCGGATAGAACACCTTTTACTTGAAAATTTTTCCTTGATTGAACTTTTTACCACCGAAATTTCCTTCCCATGTGAAATATTCCTTCACTTCGTCTTGAGTTTTCGCGTCTTTAGGATCAAGCTTCGTCCATGTGTAAGACTCGTAATCGACCTGAAAATTGTTGCCATCATTTTAGAAGATGTAGTCAAAAAAAACAACATCTAACGAGAAGTGGCAATGGTTTCCGAGAAGCGTAACTTTGCAAAAATAAGTATTCAAGCAAATGACATCTTCTCGCGTTTTTAGTATATTCTGTCCGAATAAAAAAAAAAAGCAAACCTGCCAATCTGGAGAAAGCTCAAACGCCAAATCTTGTCCTTTCCACACCCAGATACCAGAAATTGACGAGTTGTTGTCTGTTCCGAACAAAATCATAGAGCCAAAGGCATTCTTCTTCAGTTTCTCAAGACGCTGATACATTCCTGAAAAAAACAAATATGGAACAGATCAAGTAGCAAAAAGTTTACCTGAGATGAGATTGCAGCTCATGAACGAAAGTGTGAGCTCTTCGGGATATTTGTACTCGCATTTCCAGATTGAATTGTTTTCCGCGTCAAAGTTGTCCCAGAAGTAAGGGATTGCTTTGGTTACGGTGTCTTCGTTCGAGTAAACTCTCTTGAAGTTGTCGAAGTTGAAAGTTCCTTTTGGCATGTCAGCGAAGGGGTCTTTTGAAGATTTTTCGGTAGGCTCGTCATCGCCACCATCATCAGCTTCTGGCTTCGCTTCTTTTTTGGGTTGATCTTTCTTCTCCGCTTCCTTTTTAGGTTGATCTTTCTTCTCCGATTTTTTGGCGTTTTTGGCGAATTTGGAAGACAACTGCTCGTACTTCTGTTCTGCAAAATCATTGGCATGATTGTTTGAAAGATGTTTGTGGCAATTCTAAGGTAATACTCATAAAACCATTAATAATATAAAATTATTAGAAGCGCGGAATAGTATCACCAACTCTCAGCCACTTTTTATCGAAATGACAGAAAAAAGAACAAAGACTGCTCTTTTCAAGGTCATCAACGATAAAACTACTTTTCCATCACTGTAACGCCTGTTACTAGAAATAAGTAACCTGCTGACTTCGCAATGGGGACATATCGAATTTTCATTACACACCTTTGATGTCGTTTTCAGTTATATAGACAACTTCAAAATAAATGTAAAACTCTTTTACAATCATTTCGCGAACTCAAAATATCGAAAGCCGTTAGAAAATATATGTCCTACAACGATATGTTGACTTTTCACAACGGGTAAAACCGCTGGCTTGAGCTCTTGAAAAAAAGAAAAGGAAATGATGAAAAAACAGCACTTCGTTGATTTTTTAAAAACTTCCCCTTTATCCTCTTTATTGCATACGGCCTCTAAACAGGCGTGTCACACCAGTTCAGACCCCGCCCGGTTTGAGCTGCGTTGGCCAAACTACACCATTTTTTGACCCCATATTCTATTTAATGAAATGAACACGACTCTTTTTTCGATATTATTAGATAAAGAATTACAGTGAATTTTCTACTTACTATATACGGGTTTCTCGATTTAGGCCATTTTTTAAGACTTGCTGATTTTGCAAAATCTTAACTCATAAATCTAAATGTTTTAATTGTGTTTTTCTTCGAATCTGTTCATTTTTTCGTACAAAAAACTCGTTATTAACAATGATATCGCCCAAAAACCGCTATTGGCACAATTTTAACAGACAGTGAGTCAAACCGAACGGACTGAATAGATGTGGTGTGTAAGACTCAATTTTTTTCACGGCTTCCGATATCAATTTTAACAAATAACGTGTCAATTTTGAAATCATCAAATTCTCTTTGAACACGGCAAGTTTTTTTTAGATTCATGCTGAGCAATAAATTTGAAAAAAAAAAAACGAACGATCAAATTGTGAGACGGACGAAGCGTAAGACACCTCTCCGAGAACTTCCTTCACGGCAGTTTGGTTGATAACAGTCTTGAACCAACGCGTGACGTTGGCAAAAGCTTTACGTGCGACGTTGTCAAGAACATGCTGAAACGCGTAAAATTGATAGAGAAAGAAAAAATTTAAAAAAAAAACCTGAAAAGCAGGAAGAAGGTCGAGTGCGACACACACATCTGCCAAACTCAGTCGTTCACCAACGAGAAAGGTTTTCGTTAGCAAGACTTTATCCAAAAGGCTGAGCTGCGCTTTCAGCTCTTTATGGTAGGTTTCCACAACCTGAGAATCTAATTTACACAAAGTTTAAGGATTCAAGATTTAGGCAAGGTCGTCATACCTTTTTGTCAAGGCTAGCCGCAGATACCGAGGGCAGCACAAAACCGAGAACTGTTGGAAGCAAAGTTCCTTCGGCGAATTGCAACCATTGAACTATTTCGGGAAGCGTCTTAGAGTCATTCGAACCCGAGACATGCAAAGCGATAGATTCCGCGCCAAAAAGACGAACGTCTCCGTCGTAGGCTGGAGTCTGCGGAAAAAAAAAAATACATTTTTTATAATATTTAATATACCACGCCAAGAGGGAACTTATCAGCAGGTGGAACATCTCCCGCCAATGAAACAGTAGTTTTTCCGAGCTTGGCAGCGATGAGAACCTTTTGGGTTCTAAAGTTGTCCTTGTTGCCGTATAGCTTCTGAAAAATTAAAAGATTAACAGTACCTGCTTAATGTCGTGTTTAAATTGATTCCGCGAAACCCAAAACGGCCGTAAGAGAAAAAAAAATATGAGTGAACTTTAGAGATCCAGAGATAATTTTGCATTTCGCGGAAAGATAATTCTTTAAATTCATACCCCAGTCATCGCTTAATGTTGAGGCACCAGTTACGTGAACGGCGCTTGAAAAATAGACAAGAAATATTCAGTTGGCGGTTGGAGTGTGTGCGTAGCAGCCCTTTGAACGTTTCAACACACGTTTTCGATGCTGCGACGCAGGAGTCCCAAAGGTACAGGGAGGAAAGCTTCTCCATGGAGCGCAAGTTCTTTCGTAGCGCGAAAGAGAAGAATTCGAAAGTTCACGGAGAAACGGAACATGCTTCAAAACGAAAAATCGTGATCATCGGCGCGCCAAAATTGCTTCTAAAGAGAACTAATTTTTGTTTTGGAGCGATTTTCTTGCGTTTCGAAGTTTTTTCGTTTAGTCCGATTAACACGCCATAAGAATTTTTTTCTTTCTCAAGTGCTCTGTACTGGAGCGCCCGAATGTTTTTCTGCCAAATGCAGAGTTGTGTGAGGGCCGGCCCTGCAGCCTCTCGGCCTCCGGCCGTTTCCCAAGCCCGGCCCGGCCTTAGGGAGGCTTCAAGCATAAAATGAACGACCCGGCCCAAAAGGCTCAAATTTTTCTTCAAGTCGAATTTTTTTCGCTTTTTTTCAACGAGAAAAGTGGTATTTTTGATTATTTTTTTCTCATAGAATTATAAGAAAATATGATTCAACAAGTAAAAAAATAATTTTTCGGTAAAAAAATTTTTTTAAAATGAAATTTAAGATTTTTTTCAAAGCACGGCTTGGCCCGAGCCCGAGCAGGCTTTTTCAAAAAATGAAGACCCAAAGCCCGGGCCGCCCGGCCTGACTCACAAGCCTGGCCGAACGCTATTTCGTCGTTTTCTCGCATTCAGAGAGAGAGAGAAGAAACATGCGGCAGAGAAAAATTTGGACGCGCCTCTAGGCGCTCCATTTCAGAGTGAATGTCTCATGTCTCAAACGTGTTTAAAGTTGTTTTACGACGTTCTAATTAAAATTTTTTCATAGAATGAACCAAGCCGACCGCTCGTGTTACGGTAGTTTAGGGAGATTTTTTGGTAATAAGAAGAAATTCCTGTTCTCATCAAAACTCTTGTTGCCTCGAAAGATAAGTTTTTAACAAATTGCAAAGAAGAAGAAAAATTGGGAATTTTTTCCTGCTCCGAATCAGACGGTGCAATACAGAACGTCCAACAGCCGTATTAACATTGGCATTCTTAATGCGCGTATCGAAATTGCTTTGAATTCTTTTGTATAGTTTATCTTACATTTCTTTCTATTTTCATAATTTTTTCAGGTACCGCTTGAAGAATGACGGAATTCACTTCCATTCAAAAGCTACATGAAGGAGGTATTGTGAAAATTTGCATCGACTCAGGAGATTGTCAAAAAACAATCGAAAAAGTAAGCGATTTTTATTTATCAGACAAAAAGTGATATGTTCCAGAAATTTCTCACATGCGGTACTGATGGGAAAATAATGGTCTGGACCGAACAAGCGCTGTTAGGTATTTCGTCTCCGGAAGTCGCAAATATTGGTGATTCGACTTCAAGTTGCATAGCATGGATGGTTAGCTTGCTTTTCAGTCTATTGTAATGTCAATCATATTTTTTTGAAAGTGTTTCTTTTTCATGTTACTCGTGTCCTTTTTTCGATTCACCTTGGAAATCAAATAGGTATAATAAGTGTAAGTTTTGCAGGGAAATAATATCTGTTTGGGGTATAGAATCTACGATCTCATCAGCGGTGTAGAACAAAATCTGGTCGGTCGCGTTTCTCCTAGTGATTATACGAGAATATCGGAATTGTTCTCAGTCCAACTGGAGGCAACGTGCGTTGATGTCACGGATTCCTTGGTAGTGGCTGGTGCCAGGTTATTCGAGAGAAAAAGAATTCAAAAACGATTTATCAATGAGTTTCAGTGATTTCTCCATCAAGTTAGCAAAAATAGGAGAGTCCGTAGAAAGTATAACGCGCATGGAGATTGATTCGGAACCTCTAAGTTTGAAATTTGATCCAAATGCAGAGGTAAGGTTTTTCATTGTTTTTGAATAATAAAATTGACGTACCACTGTATTTCAGTTCGTTGCTGTCTCTTCTCTGAACGGAGCTGTTTCCATATTATCAACAACAAACTTGGAGCATATAACGGACATTAAGGATATTTTTCTCCATTTCGGAGCTGTCGAGTGTGAACTAGCATGCTTTTCCAATAAAACACCAGTTTTATAGCGTGAAAAATCCACTTTGTCAACTATCCTGGTCGAAAAGCGGAAGTGAGCTTTTCGTTCCTGCTAAAGGGGCTGTGAAGTCCTTTAAAAGAGATGGATGGAAAGCGAACGAGTCTTTCAAAGTTCAAGGCTGTGAAAATGTAATATTCCTTCTAAAGCTTTAAACTTTCGGTTCTTAGGAGGTTTTCTCAACTAGTGCTGTCTCCCCGTGCGGAAAATACCTTGCTTCCTCAACAATGAAGAACAAGATTTGCTTATGGGAAATTTCTTCGAGGTTCGTAATAATGGAAGATATTTATCTCTCTCCGTTAAAACCTTTAAATTTGAATTTTTTCCGGTTCCAACTGGTTCTATTAACTTACAGTTATCGCCAGAAAGCTATCTCAGTGAAGTAATTTTTGTCTCTACGTTGACCGGTTTTTTTTTTAAATTCAAAAAGCAAGAATATACATATAATAGGAAAACTAAAATAAACCATTTTTGTTTTTTTAAAATGTTTTTACACTTTTTTCCGAAGGAAGTTTGAGACTTGTTGTGAACTCAAACGGAGGATGCTTTTTTTATGTTGTCATTTTTGCAAGTTTATATTTCCAGATGTCATATTCTTACTAAAAACTACGAGCGGAATACATCAGGAACAACAGTGATAACCTCTCTGGAGTTTTCACCTTTCAAGGCTTCTGATTTAATAATCGCTGACTCAGATGTAATTTTTAAATTAGTTTTTTCAAAGCTTAATGATTTTTTTACAGGACGGTATTTGCACTTTGAAAGAAGCAGTTCCTTCTCTCAGTATTTCATCTCAAGAAAACGTCTTGGAAGTACTTTGAAAACTAACGAACTTATTTTTGAATTTTTATTTTCAGAGTGATCCAGAAGATGATGAAGTTATTTTGAACCGCTCAAGTGTAATCCGCGCTCCTCTTGAAGAGATGGAAGAAGATTCTAGAAGTGATATTTGATTTTAATTATTGCTTCTTATGATGGTTATTTCAGTGTCCTGTGACTTGGGTGCGATCAAAAAACGCTATGGATTCGACAAAATAGGAACTAACGAATTGGAAGAGTACGGATTTCACAGCGTTGCGAGAGATGGTTTCCCAAGTGAGGAAGGTACGGGAAGTGGAACCAACAACTCGAAGTATGTTTTACAAAAATACATCATTCATGTCATTTTGAGAAGATTCAATGATGCGCCACTCAATTTTTACTCAAAGGCAGAGTTTAAAATGAAGTCGATCCCATCGAATTTTGTTTCTGGGAGCTCACCATCAGATTCGTCCCAGAAATATTTGGTAAGTATCTTAGTCGTACATCTTCGGTTCACATTCTTATTTTTTCTAATCAGAAGTGGAATCGTTTTGGCTGCATTCGAAGCTGCGTAAACAGTCGTGAAAAAACGAAAAGTATAGAGGTGGTTTGATTTTTTTCTCTTTTATTCTCCTGTATGACCATTTGTTTCGAAAATTGTCATTTATTTTGTCGGTGTAGTTATTATCAAGAATTTTTATCATTTTTTTTTTGAATTGGGAATCTTTTAAACTTGGAAATATCATCTTCGCTATGAAGTATAAATGCCAGTATAAAAATTTATTCATTTTTAGCCCTATGAACTTTAAAAGCTGTTGACTTCTCCAATATCAACGAACTTTCAGATCGAATTCCATGACGCAACGATCCACCCAGAAATTGTCATCGATAATGGGGAGACTATCTATCAGCTCGGCGATATTTCAAATTGTGCCGTTGCTCTTGCCAGTATGGAAGATAAAGAAAAGGAGAAGAAAATGAAGAATTGTGAGGAACTGGAAGAAGTGGAAGTTCAGGGCACTAGGTATATACGTTTTGTGATAATAGAAAGTACCATTTTCAGTGAGATGCTCGTTCTACACGTGGGAACTTGGGATTCAGAATCGCGTCGATGGAAAATCACGTTGCCCCGTGGTGACGGCGCCATCGATGTTCTGGTTGTTTTACTATGTAATTTCTTTTCCAACTGTCGTTTTTTGGGTTACTAGTTCTTTGGTTGCTGCGATAACTTGCAAAAGAAACGTCCGCATTTTCACGCTCACCGGAATCCAACGCCAAATCGTTACTCACCCTGGTTATACCCGCTATCTCAAATTGATTCGACTTTTCTCTCAGGACCGATTCTCACTGCGACTGCGTATCAAAACTCAATTGCTATAGCTAGCGTCACCGGAACGTTTGCGGAAGGAGTTACTCAGGATCAATATCAAGCTAGTTTTTTGCATGAACAAAAAGGAGTCTTGGAAAAGAATTTCAAAAGAAATGAATATTGGTGGAAAAAAATTTCTGAATAAACAAGGACTGTGGACGCCAGCAATAAAAAACGCCGATGCGAAAACCGACCTTAACTTCTCCGAAATCTTCGTTGTCTTTTCTAGTATTTGGCGATTATTTCTATTTACCCGAACTCACTTTGATAGCGGCATGATCCTTGAGGTATTTCAGCACGTCATTCATGTCTACGAAATGAACAGCAACAATTGGTACCGGAATCTGGCGTCGTCGACTTCTGTAGGTGGTGTGGCGACTTATGGACTTCCTGTGCCCAAAGGAGAGAAACTCGAATGGATGAGCTACACAACTAATGGAAATCTGGCTGTAATGAACAGCGACTGTTAGTTTTAACGCCAACGATTGACTTAACTCTGTTAGGGTAAAAAAAAAATTTTGACCGCGGTCCGGAACTATGACTAACTTTTGCAAAAGAAACAAAAGTTTTAAATATGGTCTTTTTTCTGAGCTTTTTTGAGCTTTATCGTGTTAAAAATCTATTTGCTGACACGGGAAGTTATTTTACTTTGCGGTTTGAATTTTTTTTCAAAGTCGCTCAAGCACAAGTAATTCAAGGAAAAGTTATTTAAAGACAAGTTTTTAGTGTACGCAGAAAATGTTGGCGTCGAGCATATTCTTTCAAGAGTTCACAGATTTGTGCCATAATCAATTTGGTTTAAATATCAAATTATTATAGTTCTATGTTTCTTCTCTCACACAAAAGTTTTTTTTTCTTCACAGGTAGGTTTAGTTTATCCACCTAGTGGTCTTTTTACCTCACTGCAACATCACCATACCATGCCGTTGTTGCGAAAAAAAAAGGAAGTGATTGATTGAAGCACTCTGAATGTCTAGATGAAGATTCCTCATAGTCGCTACCTGAGAAAAATTCTCAAACTTTCTTCTAATAATTGATATATTAGTTTTTAAAGTTTGCGTTACACAGAATGAGACCCCAAAGGAAGTCATTTCACTTGGAGACTTGGAATTTTCTACAAATTCGCTCACAAAAACGGAAGGTTTATACGCACCAGTTTCTAGTTTTTGAGATGATTAGTTTTGAAGTTCGAAAAAGTTATCCTTGAATTTTTTATTTCGCAACTTTGGAAAATTAGACTTCAAAAGCTTAAGGTTTGCGCAGGTAGCGACTATGATGGATTTTCATCTAGACATTCAGATAATGTTTGAGCAAATTTGTAGAAGATTTCAAACCGCAAGGTATAGTGACCTCCTTTGTGAGATTGATTGATGATATGATTCTATGTGATGCATCACCTTTCATCTTCACGAATTTCGAAAGGACTCTTGCAGACACTGTGAGCGTTAGGGCGCCCTGTGGCATGTGGATGCCTATCTTCGATGGCTCCTCTTCGGTCCGAGCTCAGTCGGACGCCATCTGGCCAATCTCTGTAGTTGAAACGCCGTCCCATCAGATCCGTTATGTCTACTGTCGCGGTCAAAAGTATCCCATTGTGTCTCTAAAACCCACACCCACCATTTCGCAATGGAGACTGCCATTATGTAACCCTGTATGTTTATTTTTAATCTTAACCCAGCTATCATGAATATGACCATTGGTCGATTTTTTTAAAAAATATTTTCGCGCTGATTGGTTTGTGCAAAAGTGTAACAGAATATTCTTCTATCCAATTTTTTAAAAAAAAATTCTGCTTTCATTCCAATACTCAGTGTTATATAGCCAAGAAGGTAATTAAGAAATAATTTTTCCTAACAAGAGGAAAACCCTTTAAAGCTGAGGGCTTTATTTGAAAAATTAAGCCCTCAGAGTCTTCGAAACGGACTTTTTATTTGAGTAGGTATTTGATTTATTATTAGTGATGATCGCTTATTAGCGCTTACCTATTTTTTGCAATTTTTTTCAAAGTTTATGTTAATAATATGATATTATATTATAATATCAGGATAGCGACAAATCCAAGCTCGAGGAGGACTTGCTGTTGAATGAACTCCGTCAAAGTGATGCTTTAGCGAACGATACGACGAAGCTGGAGAATCTACAAAAGTCGCAATTGGCGACTATCGTGAAGATGTTTGCACTCGCCTGCAAGTCTGTTTCATACCTTCTTGGCGAGTCAATTTCAGTCGAATTGAAGGAGCGACAGAGACTCTCGCGCCGCGGAGCTCGCCAATCTTGTGACATCCGCCAAAGGAATTCAATTACTTTGTGATTACGCCAGCAAGAACCGCAAAACGACATTGTCCGAGAAGGTATTTGTGGGGCTTAAGACTTACCAGGGAACGTTTTTTACCTGATTGAAACTTTTGAAACTTTGAAACTTTTATTCAGTCTTCAGAGAAGGTACTCTGCTGAATCATGGAATAATTGAAGAGTTGTTCGTCGGTTTGCGAAACTGTCGTTGATCAAGCGTAGACGGCGCGTAGAGCATCTCGCTTTTCTTGTGATTGTAGTAGACGGTTTTCGAGCGCTCCGACAATCACTGCTTCTCCATGTAGGAACAGTACGGCGCCCAGCTTGTCCAGGGCTGACGGGCGTCGGATTAAATCTCAGGCGAGAGCGGAAATGAAGACCGACCACTCGGGTGGTAGAAATGAGAGCCTGATTGAAGATCGAGAAAAAACATTTCTCGCAATAGATCTTGTTTTCGAGTTTTGGAGATTCAAAGTCCGCAAAATACGAAAATTAGGCCAAAAAAGCGCTATTTTGAGCTTGTGAAACGTCCGAAAAGGAGATCTATTGCGGGAAATTTTCTTTCTGTTCTGGAAACAGGGGGTCCTAAAGTACAATTTAGCAAAGTTTCAGCAAAAGTTCAACTGGGGGGTAAAAAACGTTCTTTAGTGAGAGAAAAAGAAAACGCAACAAAAAATCAAAAAAAAAAATCTAGGTGGCTGCCATTGGTCGAGAAAAAGTTTGGATGACTTCGGTAGCAGCAGAAAAGTTGACATCGCGAACCCAAGATCTGAATGAAGTACTGAGGCCTTCTCGAATTTCGTTGAATCGGAATCGATCTAGTATAACACGCAAGGTTTGGCGAATTCGGGTTATGATAGACAAAATTTTGCCCAAAAAAGGAATAGAAGTTAAAGGCTTGGATGAAAAATATTTGAAATAAGCAACCTGTCCAGGCCAAGAACTTTTTTTTCCCTCTACCAGTAGTTTTTGTAATTTTTCTATTTCTGTTTTCAGGACGATCTTTCTGTTTTGTCGACACAATCTTTCGTGGACAATGATTTTTCGAGCTCTATCGTTCGTAGTGTTTCTGTGAAAGGTTTTTTCTCCCACTTTTTTTTTCCTACTACGAGTTACAACTTTGTATTCATGAATTGAGCTGTTCGAGGTTGATTATTAGATTTCTTTTCTTTTTTTTTGAAAATGAAATCCCAAAGGAAAAAAAAAACAAAAATAAACATTTCGAGAGTCGCCAACTCAAAAACAGTTTATGAATGCCTTGTAGACTAGAAAACTTTAACAAGCGTCTTCATTTCCCTATGTGATTCATAATCTCCGAATCTTGACGAAAACAGTACTTGACAATAGTCGAGAAAAAGTTTGGATGAGCTCGGCAGCAGCAGAAAAGTTGACATCGCGAACCCAAGAACTGAATGAAGTGATGAGGCCTTCCTCACTAGAGAACGTTTTTACCCCCCCGGTCGAACTTTCGCTGAAACTTTTGCTGAAGTGTACTTTAGGACCCCCTGATTCCAGAACAGAGAGAAAATTTCTCGCAATAGTTCTCGTTTTCGAGTTATGGAGCTTCAAAAGCCCGAAATAGCGCTTTTATGGCCTAATTTGCGTATTTTGCGGACTTTGTAGCTCCATAACTCGAAAACGAGAACTATTGCGAGAAATTTTCTTTCTGTTCTGGAATCAGGGGGTCCTAAAGTACACTTCAGCAAATTTTCAGCGAAAGTTCAACCGGGGTAAAAAAACGTTCCCTGGTCAGAAAAAAAGGGGTAGTTTCGGCTGGCGTTTTTGAGGGGCTGCCCACGTATGCTCGGTAAAAAAGTACTTTTGGCTGCGAACCTTCTCCTGAGGAGATTGCAAATCTCAGTAAATCGTTTACTTTCAGAGAGTAGGATCGTGAACTCCGCAGAAGAAGACGTCGGCGATGACCTTTTCGATGACGACGACGTGCCCGACTCGCAAGCTTCTCACGTAGATTCAACACTCAACGAGTCAATGCTCAGCAACGTCACGCATATTCCGATGGAACGCGTTGGAAGGAATCCTTTCAAGGTTTTTTTTCAAATGAAATTTTAAAGTTTGAGGCAAATAACTTGAAAAATTTTAAATTCACTAGTTTTAATGTTTCTTTTAAAAACCGCAAATTTGTAGAGGTTTTGAAGTTTTGAGAAAAAGTGTTGAATAAAAAAAATGTTCTTGTCTCATTTTTCTGATTCTTGTAGAGGGATCTCGGCACTTCTATCGAAAGCCAAATGGATGTCTCTATTTCTGTATTTGATCAGCTCGAAATGGTTCCCGACTGTAAACGTCGTCGCGAAGAAGAGGTTTACGAGTGATTTTTAGCTGGAAATTTTTTTTCACAGACTCAAAAAACGGCTCCTACAAAAAAACAAGTGAAGTTGAGTTTTCAACGTTGCTTCTCAGCGCGAGAAAGAGAACACAGTGGAGACTGTGAAACAATCCGGGTCGGTTGCTTTATTCTTATTAATCGATTAAAGTTTCGTTTTCATTCAATAACTCTTTTCAGTCCCACTCCATACTCATTGTGGCTGGAAGCCAACGAGCCTTCCCTCCGTCAAGTTTTTTCTGGAGAATTCGCCGATTTTTCCAAATTTTGCGTGCAAAGCTTCCGAACTTTGTCAGCCGCGGAAAAAAAGGTTTTTCCAGTTTTTTTTTTTTGCTCTGAAGAATGGGTTTTTGTAGGATTGGAAACTCCGGGTCGAACAATACAAATAAATAATTTTTTAAAACTTGATTCACATCTTACTAAATTGGATGTAACCTGAATACTCACTGTGAATAAAGTTTTCTAGACTTTTTTGAATAATACTTGAGAATTTTCAAATACACAATTATCTGTTGATGTTGTCCCCGTTACATTATTCTTTGACTCGATGACCTTGTACAATTAAATATCAAAGTAAATCCGCCAATACTTTGAGAAAGCAGGTAAGAAAATTCACAGTTTAAACATTTTTCCGAACTCTCGAGTCTGATTTATTTTTAAACCGATTTCAAAGAAATTCCCTCGAATTTCAAAATTATCTCTGGCTCTCAAATATTTGATTATCTTTTTCACTCTCGAACAGGTTTTATAACTGCTGATTAATCTTGAACACGACATTAAAGATGCCGAGATTTTATGGAAGTCTTAAATTAAGTGATAAGATAGTATATTTGAACTTTGTCAAATATCACATATAATTTATCCTTTATATGAGTTCAGAACAAATTCTTTCCAATTATTTTTTTATTTTCGATATGCGCTCCCTTCTGATGAGGAAATTCGGGAGAGGTATAGCTCTGAATGAACTATTCATGACTTGTGTTAAAAGTCTGGTCGCATCTTGCCGGAAAAGTCGTAGTGTTTTTTTTCTTAGAGTCACATAAAACATTGGAGGAATGCTTCACGTTTTTTTATTGGCAAGAAAAGGCAGTTACGTTTTGGATTTCGTTATAACTTTGTCCAAAAATTTTTTGATGGTTGAAGAAGACTAATTATATTGGCTACCCAGTAAAACTGTAGTTTTAGGAATGTTTGTTTTTTCAAAATTACCACGATGACGCATCTACACATAATTTCTCTAAAAGTTTTTAAGCAAGTTCTCAGTTAGTTTTGAACCGTTTAGTAAGAAGGCCTTTCTTGTGAGTAAGAAACATTTCTGAAACCAGTCTTTTTATCGTCTTTTTCTGTCGAATTTCGGCTTCATATGGCGACTTAATGTAATTATTGTAATCAATAAAGACATTAAGTCATTTTCTTTTCCTCAGGAGAGGGAGGAGAACCGTTCAACAATTTCAGTCCGTCAATTATTTTGAAAATTCAAAATAAAAATCTTATATTTTGTAAAAATTAAACCCTCTGAAAATGTTTCAACGGGTTTATAAGTATAAAACTCAGAAGACTGACGTCGTCATTGTTTTTGACGAATCGCCGTTGCGCTCGCTCGATTGTCCGTTTTCTTGTCTCCGACGCTCTTTTGCCATCCGCTTTTGGTTATTGAACAATTTTTCGAATTCCGGCTATGAAAGCTTTTCCAAGGAAGCCGGGTTTTGGAATTATCTAATAAACAATAGAATGAGAAGCGGAGAGTAAGAAAAAGTCCTTTTCAAGTTCTCCATTCGAAGTTTAACAAGTTTACCTTGTTTTCATTACTAGATGGCGTTCCTTTGCAGCAATTCGTCTGTTCTCGTCTTTTTCTGGCCTTTTCCACTCCTAAACGCTTTCTTTCAATGCCAGTTTTCACTAGAGCTTTTCTTTCTTCAAAAACCTATTTAATGATTTCTTTCGAACTCAAGGCCTATTTTCGCCTCTTTTTGTCTTATTACTGTGTGTTTTAATGTGAACTGCTTCATAAAGCCTGAAAAGTTTTTTGTTCAAAATCAGTTTCTACTTTTGTTTTTCTCTTTTAAAAAGGTACTCGATAAATGTAAGCTCTTCCCGAAACTGAAATTCTTGTGAGGCGATGACCATGAATCAAGTGCCAGTCATTCAAAAATTTGAGAATAAATTAAAATTGACTATGACATCTGGCTCATTTGCATTCCGAAGAGCTTTTGTATTTCATCTCTACGAAGAACAAGCTCAGCAAATTCGGCTTAAAGATTCAAGCTGCATTTCGACGTCCCGCTCCAAGTTCTTTTTTTGTTAAAGTTTTACATGAAAAAGTTCTTCTCAATATTCATAAGTAGGGGACGCAAAGCCCCGCCCCTTCACGCCACCAAAATGACGATTTTTTTGTTGCAAAAAAACGGTTTTTGAGGCGTTTATACTAGCTAAAGTCCCACTTTAAAAATGAACTGTTTCTGTTAAGCTATGTAATCGACAACGCTCTACAAGACTGAATATTTTTTTAAAACTATGTATTTTTTTCAAAAAAATAAGCGAAAAAAAGTAAGATTTAACACGAAAAAAACTGACAAAGTTTCACAAAATTGTCGCGTTTCAGAAAAACCAAGTGAGGAACGCTTCTAAATTTTAAGTATGTTATACATTAACATTTTCTTTATTTTTAGAGTGAAAATGAAAAAAATCTACCGACGCGAAAAAAATATTAAAGCTTGTAAAGTGACACCAAACTTTGAAGCTGAAATGCGAAAAAATTTCAGCGACAAGGTATACTTTTTATTTGATTTAAAAACTAACAGTGTGTCCAAAAATAACAATTCAAAATGAAAATAATTATTGGGACATCGAATCAAATTATATTTGAGTTTTACCAAAACCTCCTTTTTTCGCCTGCCTCGTTGACGCATGAGCGAATAGGATCGCGTCTATTTTTTTGATTATGTTATTAGGCGTTCAAAACTCTATCAATGAAAAAAATTATGAAAAAAAATCGATCGACGCGAAAAAAATAACGGCTTTGAAAAACCTCGAAAAAAATGACAATTTTTTTAATTTCGGAAGATTTCGTGCAAGTGTCCGTAGCAGTGTTTGCGTCAAATACACCGATGCGCCCTTTTAAATGTCGCAGGAGCCGTTTTTTTCGAGTCATATTGCACTTTTTTTCCTGTTTTTATTTCGAAATAACATTATTTTTTTCATTTTTTTCTTTTTTTCCAAATCGAATGATAATAATTTCTCTGAGTAGAAAAAATAAGCTGAAAAAAATCCCTTTGACCTTTTTTTCTAGGAAGTTTTTTTGATATTTTATCAAAAAAATTCCTATGAGGATTGTACAAAAGATTCATACCAAAACATGAGGCTCAGTTCGGACAACCTCTCAGAACAGAAAACCGATTTAAAAACGGTCCAGAAACGCGTAAAAACATTTAAAAAGAAAGCGTGCGGCAGCGGGTAAACCGTGAGATTTCGCCTCCAGTTGAACGCCGAGCGCGCTAGTTTTTTGGCCATAACTTTTTTCTTAGTGGAGCTTTTTTCAAAAACTAAACGGATTATGAAAATGGACAGTCTCCTCTATCGAACAATGTGAAAAAAATATTTTTTGAATCGTTCTGAAGAAATGGCTTGCGGTCCCTATTCATAAGGTTTGGAGAAATTCTCTTCGCGTAACCTATTCATAAACATTCAACATCTATGCGTATCTATGCGACACGATGTTTGTTTACACTTTCAAAAATGTTCTTGCTCGATGTGCTGCCCGATTAATTGTTTCCCGGGATGAATTTCTCCTTTTTCGATAAATTGATAGAGAACAAAAGCATATAACTTTCGAGGTACATTTTTTGATGGGGAGTTTCTTTTCTTGATGAAAGTAAACAATCAGCTAAGCCATGGACACGGTCAAAGTACAAAAGTAATTATTCCTACTCCCATTTGGCCAAGTTGGTGCAGCGAGCCGAGGTTGTTGTGCAAATGCGCGAGGACGGTCGAATGCTCTTCTAATTCGCTAATTTGCCCTTGTTGGACTTCTTTCGTCTGTCCTCATCGCAATTTCCAGTCTCTTTGCGATTTTAGTACTCTTTCTAGTCTTCCTAGCTATTTTTTCTTCTTTTTTCCTCAAGCCAATTTAAATATCTACTTTTTCTTGATTCGAAATTTTTGTTTACAATTATTTTTCGAAAAATTGATAATGCTACTTGTACACGGTGTTTTGGAGGATTAGCCCGTACACTAGCGAAGAAGATAAGACAATCCAACACAGCTGATGAAAATTTTGAGTAGGTCTTTTTCCGTATTATTTTCTTCATCATCTAATCTTCCAGATCAAAATTTATGAGACAATGATAGTCTTCACGATTTGGGCGATTACTTTCGCTTCGCTTGTGGTTCACGCAACGGGTTCAGTTTTTTCTATACAGAAACACCTAAATAAAAAAAAAAATTTTTTCCAGCCTATATTTTAAGCGTTTTTAAGGCTTTTACTCTGGTTAAGTTCGTCTTTCTTGAGCTCATTGGTTTCGTAAAGAACTCACTTTTTTGGTGGACAACTCACAAATTATTTGAGATCTACCTTTTTAGTCTGTTCAGATTAATATTGTCAAGTCATCGTTCAAACTCCGCCCCTTATGCGTAGATCAAACCAATCAGAGAGCCGGCCATCCACAGAGCGTTGTTGGGGCCCCGTTTGCTTAAAAGCAGACTAAAGGTCAGAGAAATTTGAGCTTTTTCTCGGACATTGGTAACGCGAATCGAACTTAGGGGTGTTTTAGTGTCCACTTTAGTGGCGTCCGCACTCTTAAAGAATCCCTAGAATTGCTCAGAAGCGTCCGGTTTTCGTTACCCAAGTTCTTTAGGCCATTCACGGATGCGGTTTGGTAGAGCGCACTTGCAAGATTCGAAAAATTGTCGTTAAAAATCGAAATATTTTTATCTTTTTTTGAAGCAACGAGTTGCTTGAACTGCGCGGCTCTCGACCCGAGCTTCAACGCAACTCTGCAAAGCCAGCTCCTGATGCAGTCCGATGTGTTTTTCTACCCTGTCGTAGTACAAAAGACACCCGCCTGCAGGTTTCTACCAATTTTCTTGCCACTTAACTTCGATGGGAATTCAGCAACTCTCTGAACGTCGAAGAAGGCGACATCGGCAACCTTTATCCGACGATCGAAGGCGAAATCTGCTCAAAGTTCTCTCGCTGCATCACACTTTTCCCGAACATCCCAAGTTTGAAACTTTTTCAAACGATGGGTATTGAAAATTTTCTTCGATTTCTATGTGTTCAACTTAGCCAGAGAATTTTAAAGAACGCCGCTATAGCCTTTTTGTTCAAAGTTTTGCGCGAGAATCGGAAGTGGCGAAAAACAAATTATTTTCTAAAATTTATGAATGAACGCTGCCAAACAATCGGTTCAATTCGTTTTCCGCATTTCACCATAGGTTTTATGAAGTACATATAATCTTCTTTTTTTGGATCGAAAAGATTCACAAGAAAAATGGTCAATCGAAATTCGCATAACTACTAAAACATGAAATTTCTCAAGGCAATTGAAAATGATGCGCTTACATTTACGCTTATGAAATCTTTTTTCAGCAAAAAATGTATCTGTGTTCAGAGTTAGTTAAAGTAATTTCAGATACAACATTCGTTGTCCGCGGCTGTTTGGAGTCCGTTCTGAGGTACAAATTCCGCGAAGACCGACGGCTCCAGTCGCCAGGGTGAGTTAATAATAATAATTTACTCATCCACAAAGTGAAAAGAATAAATAAGGTTAAGAACCGGTTTTAGGTCACCCTCACGAGTGACTTCACCGGATAGGGAATACAATAGATATCACAGTTGATAAAATACACGTATAAGCATATTGAGATTTTTGAGATCATAGTAGCCGTCTAGGGATGCTGATGAATAATTCATTGTCGGGGATGTTGTCCAGATGAGATTTGAAAATTTTAGGAGGAACAGAGACGTTGAATCTAGAGCATATTTTGTTCCAGTTGAAAAATTAAATCAATTCTAAGCTCTTGTGAAAATCTTTTATTATTGAAGCTGACTTTCGATAGAAACTCATATTACTCTGACTGTTTTTGACGTGCAATGTTGCACGTTCTTCGAACATTTGATGCTTCAACTCTTACTGAAAATCAATGATTATGCATGAAATAGGGTTGAATTTTGAGCTGACTTTACAGTATGGAATCATCGCATTTGTGAACCGCGATACTCGAAAGATCGGGCGCCAAATTGCAGGTGCTACCTGCTGCGTTCATCGCCTTCTTATCCCAATGTTCTGGCTCTCGAATTTGTCGCTTGCGTCTGCGAAGGCGATTACTGCAATAGCGCTTCAGTTGCCGACGTCGATTCCTCGTCCGCTTTCGGAGATTCTGATGTCCGGCCGCTCGGCACGTCTTCAGATCTTCTCAACTCCTCAACCTTATTCACGGCCACCTTTCCCATAGCCTTACTTTTTCTATCGGTTTTTTCAGTTTAGAGAAATTATTAGATTCAATTTTTTTTGTATCTAGTTGGTAAAAAAATAATGAGCCTCTAAGTCTAGTGTATTGGTAGGCTCCGGGTTCTTGTCAGATAGCTACCTTGGACCTGCATAAAGTTTTATTCAAATCAATGGACCGAAAAGACAAACGTCAATTTATGAATATGGTTTCAATTGAGCTGGAAACTCGATTTAATCTGCTACACAGTCCAAAATTGGCTCTTCCCACCTACTTAGACATTTAATCACTTTTTTGACGAAAAAAAACAACGAAAATCACGACTAACCAGGGAACGTTTTTCACCCCCCGGTTGAACTTTTGCTGAAACTTTGCTGAAGTGTACTTTAGGAACCCCTGATTCCAGAACAGAAAGAAAATGTCTCGCAATAGTTCTCGTTTTCGAGTTATGGAGCTTCAGAAGCCCGAAATAGCGCTTTTTTGGCCTAATTTGCGTATTTTGCACACTATGAAGCTCCATAACTCGAAAACAAGATCAATTGCGAGAAATTTTTTTCTTGATCTGCAATCAGGGGATCCTAAAGTACACTTCAAGTTCAGCAAAAGTTCAACCGGGGGGTAAAAAACGTTCCCTGGTAAGTCTAAATTTGGATGTCTAAATTCTGCGAACCGCAGACAGGCGAGTTCTTCAATACTTATTGAGAGTATCTTCATTCATTTTGTTTCTATGTCTCATTATTTTTTTCCTGATAGTTTATAAAAATTTCATCCTCCTCCAAAGTTATTTTTGTGGTCAGTCTATCTTTTTTTTTTCTGAACTTACATAGAATTCAATGGTGAGCTGCTTTATCAAATTCAAGTTTCTCACTGCCTGTATGACGAGTTTTCGATTTTTGTATATACATAGAAAAAACGAAGAATTTATTTCCTTAGAGGAATATTCATTATAATAAAAACTTGGAAAATATATGAAATAGTGAGATCAAATGATTTCTTTATTTTTTTTTGTTCGGCGATGAACTCATGCTAAACAGTTTTCGAGGGAGTGTTGAATGGCCCAAATTGATAGAGGACGCATATAGCCGATCGCGCGGTACATTCCGAAAGAAGTGATCGCTTCAGGGGTCTGGTATTGCAGAGGGTAGCGGTTCCACAGCGAGTTGTGCAGTCCGTGGGAAGTTTCGAACGCTTCGTCCAGCAAGTGCTGAAATAATTCTTCTAGTTTATAAATATATAGTGCATGGCTATTTTCTTCAGTTAAAAAAGAATGACGTTACCATCTCAACCATCATCGAAGAAACCGAGTAGACGATGCCGGTCCACACTTCTTCACTTTGAATACTTGATGAGTCAACGTTGCCAGAAGTTCTCAAATTTACTTTGTTATTTTTCATTTAATGAGCTCTAACTTTTTGCCGTTGACAGCCCCGAGTTGACCGTTTTGATAGCTCATCACATTGGTCTCGTAAATAGTTTTCAAACTTGAAATGAGCTAAAATAGTTTTTTTTTCATAACTAGGCTAATGCAATAGTAAATTTTTGAAGTTTATCTATCGCAGCAGTAAACTGACCATCTCTTTCTCGATGGGAAACTGTTCCCTACTCAGTGCAAGTGCCCAGAATCCGGCTAGTTGATCTGCCATAACGACGTCGGCGTTTTTTGGGTCCTCGTCAAACGAGAAACAGCTGAAAGATCTAACTTTTAGATCCTAGTGTTTTGCTGGTATCTCTGAGTTATTTCCTTCTAACAACACGGATTGTTAATCTTGCTAGGATAAATAAATAATTAGGAAAATAAACCTTCCGTTCCATAGTTTGTCGATAAAAGAAACTGTCGCTCGTTTCAAAAGCGTAGAGTAGGCTTGTACGTCTTGTTCTTTCCGGAGACGTCGCGCCATGGCCACGAACATTGTGAGGGCGGCGAGCCACAGAGACCCGCAATAGGCGCTCGTCCCTGTCATTCTCCAGATGTCGTAGGTCTGATCCGCGTGACCCGAGTTCTCGATCATACCGTCGTTGTCCGAAATACTTGACATTTCAGGCCATACGTCGGCTCGATCCCACCCCGGGGTGCGGCCTACCTTCCGAAAAGTGCGGCCTATCTTAGTTCATTTTCCATTTTTTTTTTGCGCGCAAAAGGTTGGGGTGGGATCTAGCCAAGGTATGTTTCAAACCGCAATCTTTCTTGGCCATTTCTTACCAACATCCCACTCCGTCAACGCACTATCGAGAACGAGTTTGCTAGTCGAGTAGAACATTTCCAATTGCTCCATAGCCTCAAGTATTTTCTTATAACATGAAAAGAAGAGTACAACTTTTAAAAATGTTTAACACGTAGATTTCAAAACATCTCCTAATGAGATTTATTTTTCTTTTCATAAAAAGTCAATTTCAGTTGAAAAGTGGTTAAATTGAAGCGAACCCCATAAGCAAAAGAACAAAAATATTCTTAAACTAGATTTGCCACGTTTTTTTTTCGAGTTCCCTTCTGCCTACTCTCCTTACTTCCTACTGGCCATATAATAAAAACTGTTCACTTATAAGGAATAGAATCTTGAAAACGCAAAACGTCGATCTCAGACCTGGGCGTCATCTTTCCCCACAAATTTCCAGTCGCGCCAGCAGCCAATGACGTATTTGAGGTTGAGATCGCGCCACTCGGAAGAGTCGTGGAGCATGTAGGAGTTGATGTGGATCCAGGGCTCCGCCACTGCAACCCTGTATTCATTTTCAGAAATGTCTCCTACGAAACCATACAGGTTGCCTTGACTTCACAAATGGTCTGCAAAAAAGCTTCATGCACCTACTGGAAGCTACTTTGAAGTCAATCGCGTATGCTAATAAGGAGTCGTTTATTAGTTTGCGGCTGCTATCTCTAATCGCAAATCTTTCTCCGACTAGTATATGCCTTTGAAGTGGCTAACAGGTAGCTACTTATATCCTACTCCCGACTGACTTTTGGTCGAAGTCAATGCATTCTGCACGATTTCGTCAGAGTACGTCCAGGAGACAAGAATACGCATAAATAATCATCAAGTGATTTGCAGCCTTTGTTATAAAATAAATGAAAACTTAAGCATCTTTAGAATATTAATTAGTTAGCCTAAAAGTTTCCGCTCATTTCAATCGGAATTTAAAGTTTTGAGTCATGTTTTCCGGGTTTTCGTAATCAAACTAGACTAACTGGGGTGTCCTAAGTCGTGCGGCACTCTTGAAAACTTTTTAGTTTGCGAAGATTCGCCTTCCACCATTGACATCATCTTCGTCGAGTCTACTCGACAAATTTGGTCGGCTGAAAACATTTTTTCTTCTTTTTTTAAGCAAAATTGCACTCGCCGAAGTCTAATTGAAGAGATATTTCAATGTTTGGCCAGTTTTTGAGTAAAGCCCAGCACGCATAGAAGTGCACGTCGTAGGTGTTCATCATGAAGTACTCCCAGGCTGAGAAATCAGAGTTCTTCCGATGAGTTGACTGTGAAACGGACACTCAAGGTATCCGAAGCGGCCGTACTCCTTCATGTGCTTCTTCGTCAACTCGCTCATCGAAGGCTCCATCTCCGACCAGCTCTCGTCGTATTCGAACCAAACCGTCCCTCCGTCAGTCACGTAGTACAGCTCATTGAAAAGAGCTGAGCGGTACCTACAAGATGGGTTGCTCATTACAGGATCATTATGAGCAAAAAAAATACGATTTGTCTCACATTCAAAACACTCACCAGGCCGGCAGTTTTTCATCGTCCAGGATCGGCGACTGCCATGCTTCAATTTCTCGTTGCCAGTCTCCATTTTTCGACAGAGAATAAGTGGCGATGTCCTCGGCGACGCGATGTTCGCAAATGCCGGGGAAAAAACGCGTGTAACGTCTGGAAAAAATTTAATGGGGAAAAACATTTGAATCCCGCACAATCAGAGCATTTAACACGGCCGTCGCCGGAGTTCCGTGTGAACAGGAAAAATAAAATAATACAGAGAACTATTCTGCCGAAATCGTGCAGGTTGCATTGATTTCGACAGCTTCGTGGAAAAAAATTGCACGCATTTTGCGATATAGGGAGAGGTTGCTGGCGATCTTCATAATTTTTTGAGATGATTTTTGTAGATGCAAAAAAAGAATGCAGTTTGCGAGCAGAATGAGAAACACTGATTTTCAGAATTCATGAAGCTTTTTCGCAGAGAATTCGCAAGGTAAATGTCCACTTCATTATTTCGTCAGAGCAAAGATTAAGCGAAGCATCACAGTCGCAAGAAGTTCCGAATTTCGCATTTAAATTTCAAGCGACAAAAGATTTGCTTTGGATTTTAAACTATCTAACAAGATATCAAGATAGTTTTAACAAACTAAGCGATCTTGTGACCTCCGTTTCTGCCCATTTTCAAATAAAGGAGAGCTGCCGGGGATAGCAATTGTACTTTTTTCCTTCAATAAATTACTATTACTCTTCCTAGGAATCCTTCCATTCTGATGTCCTTCTATTCTACTCACCGACGATACTTTCTCTGTTTCGCGCCAAACATCACCTCCGGCATGTGCCAGACCAAAGTGAACATAATATTCTCCATGTCCCGCGGGCTCACAATTTTTTCTACACAAACAGCCACGCCGAGCTCTCTCGCTTGGTACTGTGTCGATGACCGTGAGTCTAAAAAAAATCTCCTAAATGGAAGAAACCTGTTAAGTTGACAACACCGAGCAAATTTCCGCTTTTTCCCAAGGTTTTGTAAAAGCTTGATCCATCAGAGCTTGGATCGAATCTGTCAGTTGAAATTTTTTGATTTTGGAACTGAAAAAGTTGTTATGCATGATAAACGAAATTTTAAAAAAGTTCTTGGAAGTTTGGTTCTTTACATTTTCAGCCATGATGGCGTACGTGATGGGCGTTTCATTTATCGTGTGAGCCAAGGTCAAACCGCTTCCAACGTGGTTTTGAATACGTTGACTTCTGGGGAAAAAAAGTATTTTCGTTTAGAGAAAATTCTTTGAAATTGGACCTGCACCAGCCTTCAGACTGCCATTTCCTCTGACCGGTGCCGTTTCGAAATGTAAAAGTTATCGATACTTTGAGTGGCTTGTGCGTTTCATTGATGACGTGAAACTTGAAGTTGGTAACTGGCAGTGAGGAGTCCTCAAATTCTCAATTCAAGGCTCAACTTTCAATTCAATTCAATCAATTTATTTTCGCAACATCGTATGGTAATGTTGCAGAGAGGGAAAAAGACCACTAGATGGATTAACTAACCCCACCTGTGAAGAAAAAAAATTTAGTGTGAAGAAAAAAAGTTTGTGTGTTTGGTGTGAAACTTGAAAAACTTTGATGGAATAATATATATGGTTAGTGGGCGACTGACCATTTGAGACCAACTTTTGCTCATTTCACGAATATTTCAATATTATAAAACTTTGATACCTCGTAGTTATTAACTATAACTGGAGATAGTTGCTCGCAAACAATCGTGACGCCTGTTTCATCCAGCCGGAACTCTCGCCAAGCACGCGGATAGAGGCCCCGGTATCTCAAACCAAAATAAATTAGTAAACCTGTTTAACACAAATTTCCGTCGCAGAATTGCCTTAAAACTTCCCGGTTTTGTCGGCAAAGGTATATTTAGTCACAGAAAGAGTGAAACATTGGCTAAACAGGCCTTTTTGTGACAGAACGAAAAAAAAAACCGGAAAAAGAGATAAAGTGAAGCTGCACAAAAAATTCTCAGAATTACCAACAACTTCCAGGATATTTGATCCGTTATTTAAATTAACGTGAATAGACTAAATCAAGGCACCGTATGTTTTTTGGGTTCATTGTCTGCCAAGAAGAGAGCTCGCCACGACGGAACTTGGCGCAGGAGAGTAGAGACTGGTAGATAAGGGCGCCTTCCAAAGAATGGAGTGTGACGATGAACTTAAAACCTAGTGGATGGAAAGCATTTCAAGTAAAAGCAGTTAAGCAGTTGGAACAAACAAAAAAGTGAGAATAAATGCCCAACATTGTCAGCTTTGACATTAGGTGTCATCTGCTCCTTGATTCCTGGAAGGAGTGAGAAGCGGCCAAAAGCTCCACGATAATCGGTTCCAATAGATCCACAGCCGATTCCTCCCATAGGAACGCCAAAAATTTAAAGATCCACAATTGAGACTCATCGAATTTTCGAACCAGCATAGGAAAAATGCCACATCGCGTGGAAAATGTCGATGAAAGGCGCCCGACCGTTCCACCACTCAGAGATCGTGTAGACGCACAATCTCAAAATTCGCAAAGGTTTTCAAAAGTTCTTCTCGTCTGTTTCTATTTCTAAAGCAGGCTCCAGTTCGCCAAGCGCAGTGTTCCAAAAGAGACGCCGGCAAGCGAAAAAAAAAGGTCGTCGCAATGGGGCGAAAATGCGAGTTTTTTCTAACGCAACGCGGTGCGGCGCGTGTCACCCCCACAAAATTTCATTCACTTTTAATACGGTTTTTTCTCTTTTTCTTGCGTATTTTAAAATTCTTTCGTATTTTTTCACATTGTATGTGTTCTTAAAACGTGTTTATCGCGTTTTTCCAGAGATTTGAAGTGATTTTTCGATTGTTCTCGTCACAGAAATTCGCATTAAAATGACATTTTTTTGATGACAACTTATTTCGCATAAGATATTTCGTTTGTTTTTTTGTTTTAGAATTTTCAAATGGACTTTCTTAAGAGAAAACGCTTTGAGATTTTTTTCTCAAAAATTTTTTCGAGGCAGTATTCGACGAATTTATTCTTGAAAATATCATTCTGGGTGACAACTTCATTCGCACAAGCTATTATGTATCTGTTTTTTTAAACTTCCAAATGGTATTTCTTAAGAGAAGTGCTTTGAGCTTTTTTCTCAATTTTTCTGTTTGGAAGTTCGATTTGACGAGTTTTCCTAAAAAACGACATTTTGGGAAATATTTTTGTTTTTGCAAAAAAACTTTTTTTCGTCTCTTTTTTCATTTAAATTTGTTCGTTATAATTTAATACACATTAAAAATCTTTGAAAACGCGAGAACCTAGGAAAAACATCCTTTAATGGTCTTTTTCCAACCACTAAATCCACAAAACTTGACTCTCATCCCCGCGCCCCTATTGCAATAAACCGTGCCGCTGTTGCAGTCAGCCACGCCTACTGACCACAGCTGCCGCCCGTTTGGGAACACTGTGCCAAGCTCAAGAGTGCTAGGGAGGAACAATTGGCTGAACTTCAAAAAAGAAAACCGAAACCTGAAAGCCAAAGGAATGAGCGCGAAGGCGTGCTTGAGCCGCGGGAAGAACGGCCGAACTCTTGGGCATGGAGGTTCACGGTCGCCTCGAGCGTTCCATCCGACGCCTTCGGGAAAAATCGACGTCATTCGCGGCTGCAACCGCCATTCAACTGGAGTTCAAACCAAACAGGTTGAGTGAAAAGCGAAAATAACGCAAGCTTTGATCGATTTTCGCAATATACGCTCCAAAAAACGAATTTTTCGATTGGCTAGACAAGAGCCCTGAGATAGAGCTCAGAGCGATTTTTGTAGAAAGCTGTTTTTTAATTCCATTTTTTTCTTATTATATTCACCCAACTTGAGTTGGAAGTTAGTTTTATTTTCGAAATTTAAAAATATATTACTGAGTTATGAAGAGGCAGAAAGTAATCTAATGAATGAATTCAAAGAACGTGAAACAATCTGGAGAAAAAATGAACGATAAGACCAAGTAAACAAACGAGGCGAAATCGATTACTCGAAATGACGCGAGTTCGCCGCGAAGAACTACGATTTTGGATGGCTTTGCCTCTTTATAGATCACTTCTCAATCGATCTTCATTTCAAGTGGAACAGGTCAAACAGACACATCGATTATTTATTTTTCAAAAAAAAATACGGAAAAAAACAAGGTCCGAGTAATTTTTCAATTTAAAAAGCCAAGTTTCATACTTTTTTTATAATTTAGCGAAAAAGTTTGCAGAAGTTTTTTTGTGGTAACTTAAATTTTACTCGTTGGGATATTTATCACTGAAACAAACGATATTTTTTATGCTGTGGGTTTTTTCTTTCTGATTCAGTTCGGCGTATAGGTTAACTTTGGACTGCTGAATTTCTCACGTAAAAAGGAGAGCAGCCGGTCAAGGGTGGTAAAATGAGCCCATGAGCTTACAAGGAAAAACTGAGTTGAGAAAATTAAATGGATTTTTCATAAAAAAGTTCTCTCGGATCAAGATATGTTTTCGGCAGCGAAGACAGAATTCCGACGAAGGCTGGGGGCCAACGAGCCTCGATGCGTGCTTGAGACGTCAAACGCTGATTTTTGAGACTTGACACCGAAAATCGACTTTATGACTTCCCGGTACTCGCTGCTGCAAAAAGAACAACGTTCTTTGAACGTTTATCCGGATTTGCAAGTTTCATTAAGTTTACAAGATTAATTCTGACTTAATGGCGTAGAAAACGAAGACGTTGGAAGTGCAGGCGGTGTTGACCGTGATTCCGGCGTACATCTGAATAAGTTGCGCCGAGAAAACGTCCTTCGTGATGACGTAGGAGCACGTGTTGGCTGTCGTCGTCGTCACCCATCCAAAAAGCACAAACGCCACAGTTATTCCGATTGACTTGAACACCGCCTTGAATCGTTTGCCTGTAAATTTTTGAGGTCTTTTAAACGCACTCAAAACATTCGAAAATATAAGAACATATCTCAAAATTTTGGATGAACCATTAATTATTTTTTAGCTTCTCCCAATTGGGTGAAATCAAAAAAAAAACCTCATAAAATTCTCATCAATAAAATTTCGAAAGTTGTAAAGAAATGGTTAAGAAAGACCGACTCGTGGCTCCAGTCTTGAGAAGTACGTAGGTGGCAGCATACACAAGAACGACGGAAAGGTAGATAAGTGAAGAAGAATAAGTAAAGTATTTGAAAGCCGGGCCGTTAAGGCTTAACGGATTCGCACAAATTATTTGACTGAAAAAAAGCTTTTGTTTTCTTTATTTTCTAACCAACTTCCAACTTCTTCAAATCATCGTTTTTGTTGATATAACCCAACCATAGCATTAAAATTGCGAAAGTGGCGGGAAAAATGAGTTGTGCGAGGACGTAAAATAGTGGATCCTCTTGAAAATAACGATATCTGAAATGAATATGTAAAAAATTTTTTTATCGATCTTATTGAAATAGTTCAAAACACATTTTTTTTTACAAACCCATGTAAAAAAATAGTTGAATATCATATGGCTCTCACTGTTAAATATATCTTGGCATGAGTAAAAACTTAAAGGCAAAATTTTCAATCGTGGCTCAACTCAGATTTAAGGGAATTTGACAAATTGATGCCAAAAAAAGAAAGGAAACCAACTTTGAGGGGAAGCGAACGGCAATGAAGCGGTCGAGGCCTAAACTGAGAATCATGGGTCCGCCGCTGGAGAAACCGACAATCGGAAGAATGAGCATGTAGTAGCACTGTGCCTGGGAGCAGGTCACTGAAAAAGAAGCACAAGTGCTGGCCGAGGTTCACTCACAGTTGCCGAACAGTTGGACGACGAAGGGAAACTGGCCAGCCTGGTGGAGCAGGTCGAGTAGACAGGTGAGTGTTATGAGGATGTGGCACGGGGAGCGGAGCCGTCTGTAACTAACCTCGGTCAGCTTTGGCCGCCCTTTCCGACAACTTTTTTATGAAGAAACATAGCACCATTATGAAGTTGCCAGTGCATCCGATGAGCGAACAAAAGAAAAAGAAGAAGCCGAGAGGCAGAATCGCCGGATGGATGTGATCGAACATTGCTCTGTTTGGAGAATTGTTTCGAAAGACTTCTTTGATTCTGCTTTCATTCCCATGAGTCTGGGAACCGCCTTATCTTTGCAACACTCAGATTATCCCTTCATTTCCTTTTTTTCTAAGTACCGGTCATTAGCTTTTCGGGCCGTCTGATTCTTGCAAAATCACAGAGAAGCAGAATCTTGAGATGACAGTGATACTTATTTGAAAAAAACTTCTAAAAGCTTGCGAAATGTCTGTGCATATATAGTGGTATAATCTGTTCGTCAAGACTTGAAACGGACCAGTGTTGCAAGTGATGACTCGACGAGATGCGGTGCAACGCGTTTTCCTGCCGCCAAATCCACAACTTTCTTTGTCTTCATGTTCATTTTTCCTTCATTCTGTTTAATTTTATAGATAAAAGGCGCATGCTTTTGAAGAGACAGAGTTCAGTTTTTCAACAAGAAAATGCTGATTTTCTCTTCAAATGAGAGTTTTCCTTTGATAGAGGAACAGTAGTCGCGAATGCATCTTTCGTCACATTTGGGCGTGTTTTTCACCGCCGGAAAGCACCCTCAAACGTCCAAAAATCACAGCAAAACACTAAAAAATCGCTAACCAGAATAGAGCAGATTTTCCCAAACGGCTCTGTCGACCGAAACAGGGACAGCCGCAGAAAAACATGTAGAGTTCAGCTCAGCCTGAAATATTCCTAGCTGTGTGTTTTTGTTGGGAAAACGAGACAAGGTTTTAGTTATTAACATTTGAATATTTCCTTCAGGAAGATACTCCGAAAAATTTGTTCTTCAATTTATTTAGTATAACTTTGAAATTTGAAAAAAAAAACCAGAACTATAGCCAAATGAAATTTGAATTCTTAAGGAAAACGTTTCGGCCTCTGCTAAATCTCTATTTTTCTGGTTGTTCATAATGAGTTAAAATAACCAGCAGAAGCGTTTTCTCATACCTGAAAATCCTCATCGATTAAGAAAAAAAGTACAAATATACACATTTTACAGTTAAATTTAGAACATGCGCAAATTCTCACACCACTCGTGGTTTTTCCATCTCTGAGGTCAGAAAATTCTCACATATGTGGACCTTTCCCATTGCTCCGCTGAACTAAGAACTTCTCAAAAAAAACGTTAGTTTGTGAGTTTTACAACTCAAAAACCAAAACGAAATTTTCGTAGTTTAGCAAGCAAAAGAATTTATATACACTAAACAACCAAATAAATTACGGCACTGGTAGAAAGTATCAAGCAATTGGATATAAGAAAACGAACGGCATTGGCTGCAGCAAGTATTTCTTCACGCGTCGGAGCCAACTTGCGCCACAGAAGAAGACACACTTCAGGCACCGGCAAAGGAGGATTTTTCGGTCGCGAAAAAATGACGATCGGCGCATTCGCTGTAATTTTTTGCCATGAACATGGGATTGTCGGATCCGAAACAGAGGCGATTCCGGCGAATATTTGAATGTTTGGAAAAGATTGATTTTTCTTTTGGTTTTGGAAAAACTTAGACTCGGGTAACCGGTTGTGAGAGCTTTGCAACTAAGTAAAGACTGGCTAGCATACAAACTGCAGGAAGTTTGCAGTTTGCAACCAAAAAAGGATGATTTTCAAGCCGACAGAGGGTCATTTGCAGTTTTTGGCTGAAAAAAAAGGTTTGCAAGCAATTTGCAAGTGCAATTGAGCTGCAAAATAGTTTCAGAGGACTTGAGATCGAATTGCTCGACCTATTTCAAGCTGCGAACAAGATGTTCGCAGATTTTTTTTAGATTCATAAAAATAGGAATATATTTGAACTCAACGTTTCTGATAAAATTTTTTCTCACAAAATGTAATCGACTATGCTTTTCACATAGGCGAACCGAGAAGGGGTATGGCAATACCCTCTGAGGTATATCGCAGGTTCTGAAGTCTCACGATGGCACCACGAGTATACCTCTGAGGATTTTGAGCAAAATGAGAGGGAGACTCTGAAGAACCTCCGAAATGGCTCAGATATAGCTAAAAGGTATGCTGGAGGTCTCACGATGGACACATTATGGGGTCATCACGATTTATTTTGAGAGGTATCTGAGTGGACAAATTATGGTACCCTCTCGATTCGTCTGTGTGCTTATCGTATAAATCGAGAGAAAAAGTTCTTCTTATTCATAATTACTGCGTTGTTTCATAACAGCGGCGGCTTTTATATATATTCTTCTGTATACTGCCCCTATGCCTTTAACTAAAACGAAAAAAGGTCACTCACGGTTGAGCAACGCCTTGAGGGCATTGAAGAAGACGGCCATATCTTTTATTTCGTGAGAAATTTCGTTGACGATGATCAGATCGAACTTGCCAATCTAAATTTTTGGTTTGGCTCTTTACAGCGCTCGAGTGATTTATTGAGGAGCTCAAGCTGACAAGATCGTTGATCTTCCGCAACGAGAAGACACGTATTTTGAGGCACACACGAGAATTATCGACTAAACTCAAGAGAATTATGAAACGTCAGTTGTGAATGTACAAAACCAACTAGGTAAAGAAAAATTAACAAATGAGTCAAGTGGAAGCTTCAGTACGTAACAAACGAGAACTGTTATGGGAAGATTTCAACTTTCATTTATTCACCAAAACAAAGTAAAAGTAAAGTAAATCCGACCTGAGAAAGAGAGTCGTATGTATTGTTAAAAGTGGACTTCTTAAAAGTGACGTTGGTCGGTAGATCAAAACTTGGCTTGTCCCCTCGTGCTGCGATCGTCAATCTAAGAGCTCTCTTTTTTCAGGCAGACAAGTTCTCGCACCCAAATATAACTATCCACGCACTAGTATACAACCGCACAAAGTTGATTCAAAGAGACGAGCGAAAAAATACCTATCCTATCGGATAGGATAGGACCTATCCACTGTTTGTAGAGTTCTACATGCTGAACAAGGTGTCTCAACAGGTGCGACCGTATTGAACTCATGTTTTTTAGGCTATTCGAGTCTTAGTTGTGCTCAAACGGGGGAACAAAGGGGTTAAAAAAATAGGCGACCCAGCTGTGTTTATTCCAAGAATCTGTGAGTCAAATGGCTCTGACTGGTCAATCGGGTACCTATTTGTATCGACCTCCCGATTTACCTTTGTGTGGCCCCTAAAGATCACCACAACTCTTTCTTCGACACACACTCTTATTCTTCTTCCTACGCCTTTGTACCGCTTGAACGGCGTCCAAACTTCAAAATTGAAAAAACAAGTTTGGAGTGTGCGATCGTGCGTCCCGGTGTGTTCACACCAAAATCACCATAATTCACGGAAAGTTTCGACTGACGTACTGGAAAAAATGCCGTGAACGCTGAAATAAAACATAAGCACCCGGGAAGCAATGGCAGACTATCCGGGAGCAATCGCGAATGTCAGGTAGCTGGTAGCTATTTGTATCGACTTCCCGACTCAGGTAACATAGAGATAGATATAGCTGATTCACGGCTGGCTTGAGCCATCGAAAAAATGGTCCTGACACGATAATGCACGGGATAGCGCCTGGCTCGTGGAGAGCGCAGACAGTAAACGCCCCCTTAACGTCCTAAGCTGGCCGTGAATCAGCTATAGAACCCGGTCGCATACAAGTGACCACCGATTATCATACGCCGACTGAATTTCTAAAAGTTGCTACCCGGTAGCTATTTATATCGACCTTCCGGTTCATCTTTGTTGGTTTCTCAGAAAACTGTCTTTTTTCGCTCCAAACTGACTTATGTGACGCGATCTATTTTTCTTAATCGCCGTCAAAACTTCTCGTTTTTCCACTATTTTGCTTCACAGAAAAAGATAAATACGAACTTGTTGGTGGGGTGGTTCTCTGCGAGGGCCAGAGCAAAGACGCACGCTTCTTCCGAAACGTCCAAAATCGACAGCCCATCCGACCGTCCCACCTACAATTCTGCCATTATAGCAAAGAAAAAGAATCGAAAAACGTTTACAGTAAAATTTTTCCCCAATAATTTGGAAGCTCATTTCCTGAGGATCGAAGGAAATGAAATAGTTGACTCGATGCCGTATTCGAAGTCGTTTCCGCAAAACTCAGAATAGCCCGCAGAGACTGAGAAAGATAACTAAATTTTGGAGTGTCAGAGTTTTTTTTTGCGTTTTGCGGAAATTACTTTGAATACGTGAAAAATTAGTTTGTAGCCCATTCCCGGCTGGCTTGAGGCAGCGAACGGGCCGTTTAACTTGCGCGGCGATGATATAGTCTGTTCAGATTTTTAATGTCAAGTGCAATGACGTCATTGAAAAACACTCTGTGGCCGGCTCGCTCTCTGATTGGTTTATCGCACCATTAGGGTCGGAGCTTGAGCGACGACTTGAAAAGCCTCAGCACTCTTAAGTGATCCCTAGAATCGCCCAGAAACGTCCGCAGCACGTCCGTTTCGCGTTACCAATGTCCGAGAAGTTTTTGTGACTAAAATAGCTAGCTATGAGTTGTCCATAGAGCAACTTTACTGCGAAACGCGCTTTTAGCGGAGATTCGACTTTTTCTCTCTCACTGATTGACGCGAAAGATATTGTAGCCTTGGAGGGCGGAGTCAGCTGCTTGGTACTCAAAGTCTGAAGAGACTATATGGAATAGTAAAAACATGTTTTTTGAATCATTTTGAAGAAAAGGATTTTTCTCTTTTTTTTTATCCTTAAAATACGAAAGAAAAGTATACCTTGTCCACAATCCATTTCCAAATGTCAGGATGGTGCTGCTCTTCAAATAATTTCATCGCGTCATATTGCTCTTTCGAGAACTTCACGCGCTGAAATGGAACTCGATTCGTTCAAACGTTTTTAAGCGTTTTTGGGGAAATTGTTTGGGGGTACTATGTTTCAGTAAGTCTCGAAGAAAAGATATTTCTTTGGCAAGCATAATGAGTTACTTTTTTCTATGTTGATATTTTTCATTCAAATAACGGTAATTTATTGAGTTTTCGCATGGAATGGCTTCTTCTCATAAAGTTCAAAACAATAATCGACTAGCGTGTAGGGGTCACTGACTACAACCCCTATAGAGGCCACTTTTACAAGCTTTAGGAAAGGTCAATCGAGGTATCCACATCGTCAGTCAATAAATCGGATACGTGCTGATATATATATAGCTCGTTCACGGCTGGCTTGCAGGGTTGCACAAAATTGCGTTATCCGTCTTCCGCTTACGCATAAATTTCTCTTCCTTAACCCGAGTTCCGTCTTCCTTAATAAATGTTTGTTCTTCATCTCCTATTTTAAACGTTTTTTGATGAAAAATGCGCGTTCTCGTTGTTGTGATTGATATGGTATAGTCTGTGGGCCACGACTTGTAATTTCACGGAACGACATTCCGCTGTTCCGCTGCGTGCGTTCGCGAAGCGTCGGTGGTTTGAAAGAAAGACCAGCGAAATTTCAAACGGCGACTTTTCCGATTTTTTCATATTGCTAGGGAGCTTTCCGACGGCCACCTTTCCGACGGATCCCTTTCCGACTTTTTCCCTTATGTTTTTCGGTTTATAAAACATCTATAAACATTTATTTTTCCTATTTCGTATCAACTACCTACTTTATATAGGAAGATTTAAAACGAAGATTTTATCGAGAAAAAAGTCGGAAAAAGTTTCGTTCCCTAGCGATATGAAAAAATCGGAAAAGTCGTCTTTTGATTTTCCGCTAGTGTTTTTTTCATACCACCGAAGCGTCTTTCGAATCTAGACCACGCTTTCAATTGATTGTTATCGCTGTGCGAGCAAATGAAAGTAGAGTACCTTGATAAAGAAAAAATATTAAAAGCGCGACCAAGGTTCGCAAAGGCGCGCAGCGGCACAGCGGAATGTCGTATGGTGAAATTTCAAGTCGTGGTACACAGGCTGTAATGAAGCTAATTTTGTTTTCACATTATCTGTAAAAAGGCCAACTATCCTCTTAATTGCATTATCAAAGTATCTCATTTTCAATCGAAATTCAAAGAGTCAGAAAGACTCTTCTCTGTCTCGAAGTTGATAGACTGGCCCTTGTGAAAGAGACTTGAAGCTCCTTGATACGTTCAATTCCACTAAAATTTACTCACCAGAGGGACCAGAGGGACAAGATCTATATGCCCTCCAAAAATGAACTCAATCGGAGACACTCAAATTTTCGACTTTTAATGGTCCATAACTTTTTTCACAGAGATCCTCGGCAGTTTTTGAGACCAGATTTGGGATCAGCGTGAAAAACTACATCTGGGAAAATTGGTCTCATTAAGAGGTCCCACTGCGACCGGAGACCATTCCCTGGTCAGAGGTTACGAAATTTCGTTATAATTTCAATTGGCTACGAATTTCATGTTTCATTAGTAATTTTTTATTTGAAAAAATTTCTTTGGTGAAGTTTAGTTGTTTTGATAGTTATGGTTTTATTCACCAGGGTATTTCGCTTATAAATACATTAAAAAAATATTTTCTGCAAACCATTTTTGTTCTCTCCAAAATTTTTCTTTTCCTTAACCCGTGTTCCTTCTTGCTTTTTCGTAATTTACAATTCCCTGCTGGCTGGGGACATCGAACGTGCGGTTTAATTTTTCGCAGCGAAGGTAGATCATGACGACTATTCATGCGCCTTCCATAAAATCCCCATTTTTTGACTTATTTATTATTCTCTCATAATTCATCGCTTGAAAATCAAAAAACCATGAGCTGAATGTAAACGAAAAAATATATTCAATAGAAACGGAAATAATTCATCAAAGGAGGCTCTTATTGAAGGCGCATGTACGGCCGCCATGATCTACTTTCGCCGCGCAAGCCCCTTCGTTGTCCCAAGCCAGCCGTGGACGGGCTATAGCTATCGAAGTGCTATCTGGCAGCATCCTCAAAGCTTCCATAGTCCTCTCAAAATCCAAACCCAGAGAGCTTCGAAATAGTATCGGAGGGCACACAAATTGTATTGAAATACAAAAGATCTTTCAAAGAATTATCCTCTGTATGCTATTTATTGATTGACCGCGTGCAAATCCCGATTGTATTGAAAGCGCACTTTGTTGGCTACTCCTGTGGATACGCAAATTTAAAAGTGAGTTGCCCCTAGATGGGATGCTTCAAGGCCCCTAAGGTTGCCAATATATACCACTCTAGAGTTCGCACGTTAGTCATTTTTTTAGCTCTCAAAAAAATTGATTGAAGCTTGGTTCGGTTAAGCATAAAAAGTTCTAAAAAATATACAGTTTATTCGGATTTTGATTTAGAAAATCACAGTTCGAAACAGTCTCGGTCGAAAAATTCCAATTAAATATTGTTTAAGAATTCCGGACTTTTTTAGAAACTTGGGAGCTAAAAATCATTTAGAAGCGGTTGTATACTAGGGAGAAGATCATCAATCGAGAGAGGGAATTTTCAAATGTAGTGAACGAAGTCACGGCATTCCTAATGGGGTGAGGGAAGGTTAGTGAGGCGTCAAAGTTTTTGAATTTACAAAAAAAGTAAGTGCGCGCTCCGGATGAAATTACGTCACGACACGTCATTCTACGTCTCAAATTATTCTGAGTATTCAACGTTAATAACTTTTTTTTTTTTGCTGCGTACTTGAGTTTTGAACTTTCGCGCCAAAGTTTTTTGGCGTCTCCCACCCCGTTTGGGAACGCCGTGAAAGTATCGAAAAAAATTTTGTGTGTGTGTGTGTGTTTTTTTTTAATTCAACTGAACTTTCATTTTATGCCCTGTTCAAAGTGATTCTGCAAAATCAAAAATAGCCGTCAGAAAGTGAAATAGATAACTAAATTTTGGAGAGTATTTTTGAGTTTTGCGGAAACTACTTTGAACAAAAGGGGTAAACAAAAACTCAAAAAAAAAAACAGATGTGTTTTGACACGATACGCTTGGGGTAAAAAAAAAGATCACAACACAAACCACCATGACGTCACAAGCCGTCGACTGGGACAAGAGACACCGGGGTCAGGTTTCTGTGGATTTTCGGATTGAATACGGCGGGATACTGTCGCCTGAACATTTCCGAAAAGTAATACGAAAATTGGATAAAGAAATTCAAAAAAAAAGTTTTAAAAAACTTTCTTCCATTCTTCGATTATCTTCGTCTTTTAATTAGGTTATTTTTATTTCTATAAAATTGTTCAAAAAGACCAAAAAAAAAAAAAGAACAGGTGAGGATTTCCTGGAAACAAAATCAAGTGATGGACATCATTTATAAACCAAACAGTGTCAAAAAAAAAGTAGAGCAAACATGCAGGATATAGGAGGATACAATGTGAGATGGAGACCTGTGAAAGAACGAGAAGAAGTGGTTGAGCAGTGGGAGTTTAACAAGCCGAACACTCGGCTTCGAGTGGCCGGGAACTGGGAAGCCGGTCTGAACTTTGGGCTTTTGCTGGCAGGTGGTGTTGTTCTGGTTTCTGGCTTTTCGCGTTCAGTTACTTTTTGGAATATCTGGAGATTACAAAAAATATTAGTTTATCAAAAAACGAGTTTTGTTTTGATATGATGGAGACCTGTGAAAGAACGATTCAATTTTTTCAAGTAGTTTAGGGAGCTTCTCGGACTCGGGGACGAGTTTCGAGTTGAAACCTCTATGGCTTATAGTTCTAGGTAAAAACTCTTGGAAACAAGAGAGATTATCTGCTAAATCGCCTATAGTCTGTCACAGTGCAACACTAGTGTTCCAAAAAGGCGGCAGATGTGGTCATTGGGCGTGGATGCATGCAATGGGGGCGCGACAGTGAGAGCCGATTTTTGTGAATTTACCGGATGAAGAGCGGAGCTTGAGCGACGACTTGACATTCAAAATCCGAACAGACTATAATATTTACTTGCAAACTACCCGAACAAAAATAGAAAGGCTAAGCGAAAAATAAGTAAACCAGGCGTATCATTCAAACGTTTCTTCATTAGGCCAAGAGATGCGGGCTTAGGCTTAGGCTTAGGCTTAGGCTTAGGCTTAGGCTTAGGCTTAGGCTTAGGCTTAGGCTTAGGCTTAGGCTTAGGCTTAGGCTTAGGCTTAGGCTTAGGCTTAGGCTTAGGCTTAGGCTTAGGCTTAGGCTTAGGCTTAGG